CCATGTCGCCCCTCCTACTTCGCTCCTGTCCATTTCACCCCTTCCCGTTTCGTCGCCCCTCCCTGTATCACCCCTACCCATTTTACCCCTTTCTCATATCGCCCCTTCCCCTTTTTTGCCCCTACCCATTCGCCCATTTCACCCCTTCCCTGTTCGCCCCCAATTAGTCCCATCTCGCCCTATTTCGTCTGAACTTTTATGTTTATGCATGGAGTCCGTAACGATTTGGCTAAATTCGATCATTTTCTCATTTATTGTCCTTTTAAAAAGAAAAACCAGGCGTTTGATTTCATTTTCATGAGTCATTTCTCGGAGACCTCCTCGACGAAATTTCGTTTGTTTATTTACAAAACTGACTTTTAGGCCACAAAGTATTTAGAGGGCTTACTAAATGCCCTATTGTATTCTACCGACAAAACACCGACACCGTTTCATTGAAGCGTTAAGTTCAATACTCGATCACTTACCCCTCTCATGGTGTAATTATAACAGACTTGACAATCGAGAAGTCTTTGGGTGCGTTCGAATCATTATCCGAATTTGACTGAAAATGGAATTGAAAGGGGATTAATGAAATGAATGGAGTTTTACGTTTCTGATTGGCTTGATGAACACGGGCAACGCCTTGCAGTGTACAAAGAGGAAAATCCGAACAGAATCTATGCCGAAGTCATGCCATCGCCCTATGCATTGCATTACCTCAATGTCGCATATAACTATAGGGTGTAAAACTCCATTTCATTTCATTCGACCAAAAGACCATAAGTATTATTTCATTTCATTTGATAAGTCGCATATTATTTCATAAATGTACGTAACAGAATGATTAATGCGTAAATCTCCATTTTTACTGAAACAGAACAAGTATCGAACGCAAACATAATGTCTTGGACAACCAGTCACAAGTATTAAAAAAGAATTTCCCCGAGTCAAGCCGGCCCAAATGACCTAATCCTAATCCAACACGCATGCGTACAGAGTGAAATACCTGTGAAAGGGATTATCGGTTGTTATTCGATTCAAGTCTTGAATAGCGGCAGACGACACAACTTAACCGGGTTTTTATGTCAATAGGATTTATGAATATACATTACTAAAAAAAGGCAATATCTCAGGTAAGCGTATTGTATGAGTGAGGGGAGAGATTGTGAAGGGAGAGAGAAAGGGAGGGGGGGGATGGGGGGGGGTGTTGTGAGGTTAAAGGGGTGTTGAGGAAGCTCCCTTTGAAAGGAGGGGAGGGGGTACTTCTCCGGGTTTATATATATATATACAAGATTATAAAGCAAAACAGGTAAGCAAACTGGCAGAGTGTGAGGGCGGGGATATAAAGGGGGGGGGGGGGGGTGAGGTTAAGAGGCATTGGGAAAGCACCCTTTGAAAGGAGGGGAGGGGTGCATACAAAACGGTATGGATTAAGGAATAGTTGGGAGAGAGAGAGAGAGGGGACAATTTATCAAAAAAAATCATGATAATGTATAGCTGTATTTGCCACATAGGGACATATAACACCACTTATCAAAATCAAAATCCAAACTTGGGCCTCGACATTACGGATGGCGTCTTATCTAAATTACAGTAATAAGTCTTTTTCAATGCAGTGACCCAATCCGTAACCATATACATCAATAATATAGACATGTTGTATCAAGGGCTAGATGTAACAGCCTCAACCTACCCTTGATAGATCATTATATATCTTTATGAGGTAACCGACCCACAAGCCTTGGAATGTCTATAACTTGTTTTATAACTCAAATAAGCCATTCAAATATGTTTAGGGTCATACCGAATTTACTTAATTCTGAACTCTGCCTTAATTTGCCCAAATAAAAAAATTTGCTTTCATTTTGACAAGAGAAAAATGCCTTCATCTTGACAAGAGTAAACTACCTTCTTTTTTCATTTGAAAAAATTACACTGCCTTCTTTTTAACAAGATAAAACTGCCTTCATTTTGATAAGATAAAACTGCCTTCATTTTGATAAGAGAAAACTGCCTTCATTTTGACAAGAGCAGACTGCCTTCATTTTGACAAAGAGAAAGGTGCCTTCATTTTGACAAGAGAAAACTGCCTTCATTTTGACAAGAGAAAACTGCCTTCATTTTGACAAGAGCAGACTGCCTTCATTTTGATAAGAGCAGATTGCCTTCATCTTGACAAGAGCAGACTGGCTTCATTTTGACAAGAGAAAACTGCCTTCATCTTGACAAGAGCAGATTGCCTTCATTTTGACAAGAGAAAACTACCTTAAGTCAAGAGGAGCCTGCCTTCAATTTGACAAGAGCAGACTGCCTCCATTCTGAAAACTGCCTTAGCTTTTAACTACAGAAAGCTCAACGTGGTGTAGACAAGAAAAACTTAATAGGCCTATCGGTTTGTGGAGACACACTAAAATTAAATTGACTTGGCCTAAGTGATCGAATATTACCCAGTGTGATTTATGATGAAGACTTTCGACTTTCCTGGTTTCAAGCCAAATATATTTTATAACGTACTCAATAGGACGACAGCCTAGAAATTTCATTTTATATCACGCCTTCTATCAATGTGTTATCTAACCAAAACTGCGGACACCTGTGTCTTTTTATTTGATTGTATACGAAGTCGACGTGAATTTATCATTCTGAAAAGCAATGCAGATAGTTGAAATTTGACTTTAGTAAGTGGTAAGGCATATTTCAGTATTTGTGCGTGTAAATAATTGTAGACGAACCATGAGTCGGCTTGTTGTTCTGAGAAGTGTTATGGTAGGCTAGGTAATATTTTGCTTTCACGGCAAACTAATTGCAATATTTTTTTCTTTTCAGATAACCTCATAAGGAGAACAAGTCAACGAAAACCAACTTTGAAAACTGTGTCTTCGCCCGGAATAGACTTTTATGATGTCATTTCCGGTAATATGAATTCCAACAAATTGGGACTTCCTCCAATATTCGACCGCAGCAGAACCCTCAGTGAATCCTCGGATTATAACTCGTCCGTTTCAAGACGCGCCCGGAAACAGAGCGAGTCCTCCATTTTGGATTTGGTATCAAGGTCACCGCACAGTTTCTCGTCGTCGTCTGCGAATTCTCATATTTCCGGAAGTCATCCACATACTCGTCAGTCCCGGACAAAATCGCTGAGTACAACAGACCAGGCGAACAACAACTCTAGTAAGCTCGGAACGTTATTCGAACAGACCTTCAATGAACTGAATAGAAAACCAGAGACAGGTTCGATTACAGATAGAGGAACAATGCCAAGTAAAACAAGTGTTCTCAGAACACGTTCCAATCCACTCGAGAGCACAGCGACAGTTGGAGGAAAACTAGCTAGTGTAAAAGCGAGCTCGAGGGCCACAAATGTATCCGTCAATTCCAAAGGGTTCACAAAACCACCCCTGAAAAGAATCAATTCAGACCCCAAATCGAATCTAGAACGAAAAAATTCCAAGTATTCCCCACAAAGACAAACCGTGAACAATTCGTCACCCAAACCCTCGCTCGGCTTCAATTTAGAGAAAAGACTAAGTTTGGATTCTAACGGGAACTCAAAACCCAGTGTTCGAACGCCACACACAAAGAGACAGCCGCCTTTCAATAAACAACAACGAATCGAACGTTTAAAATCGAATGCAAATGACGATCTGAGTGAGAGTGAAAGCGAGGAGGAATTCGATGAACGCGTTTTGGAATGGCTGGAGGGGGTGCGAGAAGCAGAAGCTCCCCCTGAGCAAGAGATCGTGTACGAGGACACCCCACCCCAATCTGACAATGCTATCCATATTGTGTACCAAGACTCGTGATGAAACTAGTGTTGTGCTTGAGTATATACTTAAAACGCACCCCAATCAGGTGTTGAGCATGATACTTGAATCGAGTGCTCTAATGGAGAATTCTAAATTGCCAAAAGTAGAGACAATTGGTGGCCGTGGGTTCATATCTCGTTCGGCGTGTGAAAAACCAATGACTCTGAATTAACTCATAATTCCAATCGGCCCAGTCGCAAATGGGTACGGATAATCCGGAAAAGATCAATACCAAGAGGTTTGGCCAAGGACCAGCTGGTAGATTCTTTGTGAAATATAGTGTTTCTTTTTTTCTTATGAACAGGCCTACAAAGGGTTGTTTACATAACACTATTGAGAAACTGTCAACGTTGGTGTGTTTTTGTTGACAACGAGGTGTATTTGTTTACATTGATCTCCACATGTCAAAGGGTTAATATTCAGTGACCTAGTGCCATACCTTAACCCTTTCAATACCGGTATTATTTCTATATTATGTTAGATTATGTGACTGAAAGAAATGGAGTTTTACGTCTTACGTTTCTCGAACATTTGGGCTTATCAAGCCGAGTCTTTTTTTTTTCAACAGGAGTAAACAAAACCACGGTTTTTCGTCTTTTCCAAACCATTCGGCAGTCCATTCGTTTTTGCGTAAAATTAATAGGCATTCGGCAACCCTCTGTTTTTGCGTTAAATTAATAAGCATTCGGCAACCCTCTGTTTTTGCGTTAAATTAATAAGCATTCGGCAACCCTCTGTTTTTGCGTAAAATTAATAAGCATTCGGCAACCCTCTGTTTTTGCGTAAAATTAATAAGCATTCGGCAACCCTCTGTTTTTGCGTTAAATTAATAAGCATTCGGCAACCCTCTGTTTATGCTGGAATTAATAAGCATTCGGCAACCCTCTGTTTTTACGTAAAATTAATAAGCATTCGGCAACCCTCTGCTTTTGCGTAAAATTAATAAGCTTTCGGAAACCCTCTGTTTTTGCGTAGGATTTAATAAGCATTCGGCAACCCTCTGTTTTTACGTAGAATTAATAATCATTCGGCTACCCTCAATTTCTGCGTAGAATTGAATAAGCATTCGGCAACCCTCTGTTTTTTACGTAAAATTCAATTAGCATTCCGCAACCCTCGGCTTTTGCGTAGAATTCAATTAGCATTCGACAACCCTCTGTTTTTGCGTAGAATTAATAAGCATTCGGCAACCCTTGGTTCTTGCGCACACTTGAATTGGCATTCGGCAACCCTCGATCTTTACGTAAAATTCAATTAGCATTCGGCAACCCCTCGTTTTTGTTTGAAATTGAATTAGCATTCGGCAACCCTCCGTTTTTGCGTAAAATTCAAATTGCAGGGCGCTTGCAGAACTTTCGTGCTGAACCGCTTGTTTCCTAACCACAAGATTCTTTCCAAAACGACCGCAATGCGTCAACTTAAAACCGCGTTCGTGAAAAAACTATTCAAAGTTCAATAGGACGCATAAAGTCGCGTTCAAAAGGTTAATTGTTCCACTTAAAGATAAATGGCTATTTTTTCATTGTGAATCGACGTTTTATTTGCTTACATTATTTAACCCTTCAAACACCGAAGTTAAATTTAGAAACACTTGATATAGAATGGCAACGCTATTTGTTTATTTGATCGGCGTATATAGAGTTAAAATAGATTTGTCAAATTTCGACCCCCTTAAAGCCCCTTGTACAAAAGTCAATCGGCACCACCTGTACAAAATCAATCAAATTGGCCCTCGATTCGACAATACTTCACTTTTAGCAAGTCACGAATGACAACTTGAGCTTTGAAAAGGTCACGTATCAGACTGGAAAATTAACCCTTGCTAATAACAAATGAGTCAATGTTCGCGCACTCACTCAACTGGAGCGAAAAACCAACAAAAATGAGAATATTCTACAATACAAAGACTTTAGACTCGAATGTTAATACCTTGAGCTCATCTCACGTTGCCAACATGCGTTTCGGATACACGATTGTCGTCAGGACAGCTTAGTTTGGAGACGTGCCAACATTGCACTTAGGGTGTGTGATTCTATTGACGTCATTAGCCCCTATTATGAAACAAAAATCCGCATGATTTTCGCCGATGGTGTCTTTTATTACCAAATCGTCAAACCATTACTGTGATATACGGTGTTTTAATTTTACAAAACACAAACTTCCATTATTTATTGTTCGATTATTTTTTACGATTAATTTCAAACCGGTGTGAGAGATTTTATTGTTGTTTTGTATTTATTAAAATTGTTATTTATTTGTTTTTCTCTTTTACCGCCCTCACCCATCTATGCTTACGATCATTTTCGGAACCAATGGCCGCCGATTCTTTTACATAGACTTATAAACGCCACACGCAAAGAAATCGGTGCAAAAGATCGTAAAAATTATTTGATTTATTTGTCACATTTGATTGACATTTTGGGGTATATTTGATTGACTTGTTTTGATTTTTTTGATTGACATGTATTGACTTATTTGATGGACATGTTTTGACTTATTTGATTGACATGTTTGGGTTTATTTGATTGACTTGTTTTGACTTATTTGATGGACAGGTTTTGACTTATTTGATGGACATGTTTTGACTTATTTGATAGACTTGTTGTGACTTATTTGATTGACTTGTTTTGATTTTTTTGATTGATATGTTTTGACTTATTTGATTGACATGATTTGACTTATTTGATAGACATGTTTTGACTTATTTGATTGACATGTTTTGACTTATTTGATGGACATGTTTTGACTTATTTGACTGACATGTTTTGATTTATTTGATGGACATGTTTTGACTTATTTGATTGACATGATTTTACTTATTTGATTGACATGTTTTTACTTATTTGATTGACATGTTTTTACTTTTTTGATTAACAGACTGGGTGCAATGAGGGAACTTTTTACTTGGACGACTATATGAGCTTATAGTCTATGTGCCATGGATTGATATCCAAATATTGTCAAATTCAGACTCATCCCAAAGATATCATACTAGGACAACAACTTTTCAAAAACAACAAGGAATATGGTCTGCATCCCCTAGACCAGTAAATTTGGGAGATGTCAAAATCCCCACCCATAAAAAAACCCAAATCCCCTCCCCCAAAAATAAAAAAAAAACCTAACTCAACAATGGAATATATCTTATTTACAAATTAACTGAGTTCACACTACAACAAAGTTTATACATACATTTGAATTCTTAGACCAACTTACATACAGTACCCAATACAACCACAGAGTGACGTCAGGTGTTCTAGAAGGGTGATCATGTCTAGTCTTTCCTTGTGCAGGCTCTAGAATGTCATTTGGTGTTTTTCTGACGATTTTGATACATGTTCAATAGTAAAAAGATAAGTCGATAAGTGGAATCAGGTGTTTTAGAAGGGTGAGCACACCATGTATTAAGCCACATTGGATATCTTGTGTTTTAAAACCTATCTTGATATCTCAAAGGGTCACGAGTAGGTTACATCTGTCCCTTGATGTACTAATATGAAGCTATGTTTACAAGCATTTAGTTCTAGACCACTAAGATGCACCAGAAATTTCAATATCCATCCGATACCCTTTCCATAATCAAACTCATCCCGAACACCTTATGTCACTCCTTCCCTGAATGAAAATTTTGCAACAAATTTAGAAATCTTCAAGCAAAAATGATGCATGATTTGATGCAAATTTTTGAGGCTAGAAAAAGCTTGAAAATTTGCAAAAATTGCTATAATTTTATGTTTCCATTTGTCAAAATTTTTGGTCCAAGAACAGGAAACTTCTTTCATTTCATTCTTTCTGAAATACGAAATTAATTAATAGAGAATAAACTGAACGAAATGAAATGGAATTGGAATTAGTTTATGAAAGAAAATGAAAATAAATGAGTAAATAGAAACGGATGAAAGGAAACTGAATTGACAGTAAATAAAAATAAATGAAATGGAAATAAATGAAATGAAATGGAAATTAATGAAATGGAAATTAATGAAATGGAAATTAATGAAATGAAAATTAATGAAATGGAAATTAATGAAATGATATGGGAATTATGAAATGAAATGGAAATTATTAACTGAATTGAATTAGTATAAATGAAATGGAAATTATGAAATGAAATAGAATTAGTATAAATGAAATGGACATTAATGAAATGAAATGGAAATTATGAAATGATTTAGAATTAGTATAAATGAAATGGAAATTATGAAATGAAATGGAAATTATGAAATGAAATGGAAATTATGAAATAAAATGGAAATTAAGAATTGAAATGAAATGGACATTAATAAAATGAAATGGAAATTATGAATTGAAATGGAAATTATGAAATGAAATGGAAATTATGAAATAAAATGGAAATTATGAAATGAAATGGAAATTAGAAAATGAGAATATATGCAATTGAAATAAGAAAAAATGTAAATGAAAATAAATACAATAGAATTGCAAAGATAAATGAAACGAATTGGATATTAACATCTTGCTGTCCATTCAGCCTTGAATACTTACCATAAAACTGTGATTTTGATAAAAAAAAAGTGTAATTTAATAAGATCTAATTGCAGGTGGTACCATTGGACATTCGTTCTGGTCTAGCGTATCATCAATAACTGGTCTGTAGTCCAACTTCACCTACAATCAAGGAACATAACTCTTCAAGTTTTAAGCAATTAAGACATCACTAATCGCGAAGTCCTTATGTGATAAATCATATTTTGCGATTAGTGAAGTCATCAAACACTTAGTTGTAGTAGAATTACAGGAATCACAGACGCCTGATTGAAAATTAGAATGGTGTAAATTGATGCTTTAAGTGTCCCTGATACACATAAAAATTTTTGAAAACTTTTTTACAATCCCTTTAATTATTGTGTTTGCCTGACTGAGGTCTATGAGAATTCGTTCAGGCAAGTTTTTCCAGGCACAGGACCCTGTTTTTAAGTTAATGTAGCTACCTTTCCGTCACCATCAACATAAGATAGAGTATGTTTTCTCCAGTGTTCATCATAGGGTTTAGGTGTCTGACCTTCTACTGGTTTACTGTAGTCATATTCATCAATACGGTGCTAAAAATAAAATAGAAATGGAGTTTTACATCCTATTGTAATATTAAATTTTACATCACAAATAACATAAGGTCCTTGGTTTTGCATATGGTATTGAGCCCTTCAGTGGTGAGGGAACCGGTAGGGCATTTGTCCTCCTAGAAAGATAGCTTGCCAGGCAAGGTAACATACGCCCACTGATAGCTTTGATTGTAAGTACAAGTCTTTGTTTGCTGCCCATTCAATTGTAGCCTGTAGAGTGAGCACGAGTTGCACAATATAGCTAATAGATATAAATATAACAATATTGAACAATTATCCAATCATCACAAAAATCGATAGGGATCATCTTCATAATGACATTGACACACAAAATCAAAATCAAAAGAATCTGTAAAGAATTGTAGCCTGTAGAGTGAGCACGAGTTGCACAATATAGCTAATAGAATGAAACGTCAAGTCAGACACGATATTTCGACGAAAAATTATCAGATCATCTTCATAATGACACTGACACACAAAATCAAAATCAAAAGAATCTGTAAAGAATTATAGCCTGTAGAGTGAGCACGAACCAAATGTGAACGGACGGACCGACAGGGTGATTACAATATACGGCCATCTTATGTGTGGGCGTATAAAAGTGGTTTGTACCACCACTTTATTTTCAACGAATCTAAATGTCTTTTTTCTCCAAAATATGTAATAGAATGCACAAAATCAATTCATTTTTTCTCAAAATTGATTGTCTTAAGAGGACCCTCTAAGACGCTCTATGAAAGGCTTGCGACTATAACACCACCACAGAGTAGCCAAAATTTGAATTCAGCCTCAATAGTTGTCCCCCCATTGAGTCAGTCTGCCCCCTATTTCTATCCCAAGCTTTAGAAGGCCGGCGTCACCATTGGAGCATTTGAATGCAAAACTTCCTTCCTTAAGCCAAACTTTGTTTCTGTTTTTTTATTTTTTTGCTCCAGCACTCCAGTTAAGATCTAACAACTCCTCTATATAACTTTAATCTGAATAAAAACACTGCCAGCCAATCAAATTTCTCCCCTCTCCAGCGTTGGGATTATGTGAAGCAAACAGAAGTTTATCAAGTCCACTGAAACTGAAACACGTTTTTAATTGGTTGTTCAGACCAGACCAGTGTCAAGACAAAGGTTATACATTATGAAGAAATAAGAGGGCTATCGTTAGACCCTAACTGAAGTGGCTACATTAAAAATAAAAGCTATTAATTAATGCAACGAAAGTTTGCTCGAACTTTTATCAGACTGGACATCCACACAAAAAAATACCTTGAAATCTTCTCTAGAGTGAGCTCCCCTACTTTCCGTTCTATTCTCGGCACTATAAATAGTCTGGATAGCATTGATCATCAAGTTCTGTAACTCTAATGTTTCTACTAGATCGGTGTTCCAAATCAAACCTCTATCGTGAACCTATAAAAAGAGAGACATACACTGATTTATGCCGCAAGAAATGAAAATGAAAATGAAATGAATGGAGTTTTACGTCCTACTTTTCTGCACCATGTGGGCTAATGAAGACCGTCAACGCCATGCAGGGTGCAATGAGGGAAATTTTGCCAGTACAGCGGCGTTAGCCTACTCTTTTTCGATTTCAAACTGTCGAGGGATCTTTAACATGCACAGCCTGTAGCACACGGGGCCTTGGTTTATTGTCCCATCCGAACGACTAGACGCTTTTTCCATGTCAGCCCCTCTTGCCTACATGTATATGCCGCAAGTGTCTCGATGGATTCATTGATGGTAAAGCAACTCTCATAAAAAGTGACATTTGGCCCTAAACCTGCTGATAACCCATCAGAGGAATAGACATCTTCACTATGGTCAAGCGGGTAGGTAGGTGGATGAAAAGTTAACGTTCGCTTCCAGCGGATGCTGATATCGACTATGGTCAAGCTATTACACTTCATGTTACCTGGACTGTAATGGCCCCCTTTCTTGTTTCACGGTCAGCAATTGGACAATACGTAAGCGAATACAGCCAATCAGAGCCTTCGATTTAATGCGCAATTATTTTTGAATTATTGTACCGTCATTCTGTCGAGGCCTCTGATTGGCTGTATTCACTAAGGTACAATCCAATCAAATTTCTGCATTCACAGTCCTTCGTGAAATAAGATAGTGGGCCAAAAGGTCAAAGATGGAAAAAATGGAAATTTTCCCCAAGAAGAAACCCTAAAGATAGTGGACCACAGCCATATGCGCCCACCATGGCATGCGGATGGTAAATATTCAAGATATAGGGGCAAGGGCAATAACTCTGCTTCTAAATCTAGTTTTTAGAGCGTTTACAAGCAAATGTTGACGGACCGACGGACGGGGGTGCCAACAATATAGGTCCACATAGAGAGAATTGGGCGTATAAAAAACCTTACCTTCAAGTCATCCATTTGTTTAAATAAGCCATCCATCTTGTCACATCCTTCCTTCAGTGTCACCCCATCTCGGAAGACAGCAGCATAGTTCTGCATAGTCTGAAATTAACAATTAAATACTATAACATAGGTCTACATAGTTTGAAATTAACAATTAAATACTATAGCATAGGTCTACATAGTCTGAAATTAACAATTAAATACTATAGCATAGGTCTACATAGTCTGAAATTAACAATTAAATACTATAGCATAGGTCTACATAGTCTGAAATTAACAATTAAATACTATAGCATAGGTCTATATAGTCTGAAATTAACAATTAAATACTATAGCATAGGTCTACATAGTCTGAAAGTAACAATTAAATACTATAGCATAGGTCTATATAGTCTGAAATTAACAATTAAATACTATAGCATAGGTCTATATAGTCTGAAATTAACAATTAAATACTATAGCATAGGTCTACATAGTCTGAAAGTGACAATTAAATACTATAGCATAGGTCTATATAGTCTGAAATTAACAATTAAATACTATAGCATAGGTCTACATAGTCTGAAAGTGACAATTAAATACTATAGCATAGGTCTATATAGTCTGAAATTAACAATTAAATACTATAGCATAGGTCTACATAGTCTGAAAGTGACAATTAAATACTATAGCATAGTTCTGCATAGTCTGAAAGTAACAATTAAATACTATAGCATAGGTCTACATAGTTTCAAATCATAATTAAGTACTGTAGCATAGTCTAAAATAAAGAATGAGTTAATAACCCACAGAAAATGTATGAAACCAAATATCTGGAAATGTACTGGTATTTGATTATTTGAAATCCAATGAATGAGTGAAGTAACCCCCAGAAAAACGATGATACAAAACTTCAAGACCAGGGGTTGATTGACATAAATAGAGTGTAAAGACATCTGACAAAAAATTGAAATGGTGCAAATAGAAACCATAAATGGCCGCTTAAACACATAAAAAATCTAGCAAACCTCTTTACCATCCCTTGATATTTTGTTTCATTTATTTTCTGTGGGTTATACAAAGAATAGACACGTACCTTTTGCATGTTAAGACGTAGATCAGCTGTAGGTGTAGAACCGTTAGCATGACGTATTTTATCTAGATTAGATACAGATTCTTCACCAGCATTCTACAACAATAATCACAAAATGAAATAGAGTTTTACATCCAAAGACAGGAGTGTGCAATAAGGGAAATTTTGCCAAGATAGCATGTTCCTTGTCCATATCTAACCATTGCTCTCACAATCCCATATTCTCGTCATTAGAGACTAATAACCTCCCTTGGCAAACCATACATCACTATCAAATTTATCCAATCAGGAATCTCGTAAAACTTGGTGTAAAAGGATGATGATTGCAAATGGCAGCCTCCATTGAATCAACCGGAAATGTTGCAGTTTCGAACCAACCCCTTTTCGATAATCCATCGAAAATAGAGGCATTAAACTATCTTTATTTGTGCACCTAATAGGTAAATCAAAGATGCTGTGGGCAATGTTGGGAAATTTGATATTGCATTGGCATTATTCTCATCTTTTTCTATTTCAAAATCAACTTTTCTTCTTCCCAATAGATTGGGCTATGTCCCTGCAGTGGGCAATGAGAGTAACTTTGCCAAGATAGAGGCATAAGCCTTCTGTCTCGGTTTCAAATTTAGAAAAAGTTGTAACATTCTATTTTCTTGCTTTAATAGCCTAAAGGGACTATACATATATGTAACGCCTTGCTGTATGCAATATGGGAAATTAATTTAGCTATAGTCTGCTGTGTACAATGTGGAACATTTTGACATTGCATTGGCATTAGTCTCCTCTCTGTCTATTTCAAAATCAAAGATGGCTTGCCAGGCAAGGTAACATACGCCCACTACCAGCTGTCAGAAATGATAACAAAATCTTTAGAGGCTGAATAATGAATTTTCAAATAATCTTCAAAATATTTTGAAGTCGAGGCAAAAACCTCAACAAGCCAATTTTAACGCATTCTTACTAAGTCAAGGGCAATAACTCTGAAACTGTTCATCCGATCATTACCAATTTCAAACTTGACCGAGATCTCATCAATATATACATGCATACCAAGTTTCATCAAGATCAGATAGAAACTGTAGTCTCTATCGTGCCTACAAGAAATGTGGACGGACAGGGGGCTACAACAATATATCACCACATTATAATGTGGGTGTATAAAAATAAACAGATTGGGCTAATGTAGCTGCAGTGTACAATGAGGGAAATGTTGTCATTGTGTCTCAGTGAAACATGATAAAGCAAAATCTCACCAACCTGTTTGACATTGCCAATAGATTCTCCAGGTTTGTTTTCAGCAGCGATAGTGTTGGCACAAGCTCTTCCAAATACTACCAGATCCAGTAGCGAGTTGGCACCAAGTCTGTTGGCGCCGTGGACTGAGGCACAAGCTGCTTCTCCGCAGGCGTACAATCCTGGAACTACTTCGTCACCACCTTCTCTGGTGTACTTGATAACCTAAAAATACAATAAACAACATGAATGGGGGCGTGACCGGGTAAAACCTGGAATAATAGTGTCCTGTCAAAAGCCATTTTCACAATGTCAAGCTATTACAAACTTCGTCTTATACCTTGACTGCAATAGCCACCTTTCTTGTATCTTCACAATGTCAAGCTATTACGATCTTGGTCTTATACCTTGACTGCAATAGCCACCCTTCTTTTATCTTCATAATGTCAAGTTATTACAAACTACGTCTTATACCTTGACTACAAAAGCCACCTCTCATGTATCTTCACAATGTCAAGCTATTACGAACTGTGTCTTATACCTTGACTGCAATTGCCACCTTTCTTGTATCTTCACAATGTCAAGCTATTACGAACTTCGTCTTATACCTTGACTGAAATAGCCACCTTTTTTGAATCTTCACAATGTCAAGCTATGACAAACTTCATCTTATACCTTAACTGAAATAGCCACAATTCTAGTATCATTGAAAGCAGCGATTTGATTGGATTGTGCCCCAGCGAATGCAGCCAATCAGAGCAGATGTTGGGGTATTCTTACCTGACCCTTGTAGTTTGTGGGTGTACCACCCATATTGTAATGAACTGTGGGTAAAACTGGGATGGGATCTCGGGTGACGTCAACTCCAGCAAAGATCATGGCTGTCTCACTGATTCCGGGTAAACGGGTGTGAAGGACCTCTGGTGGTAGATGATGTAACTGCAGGAGCACGTGATCTTTCTCTGGACCACAACCTCTGAAAAACAACAGAAATTTGAGCTACAATGATTCAACAGGGTTTTGTGAAATCTATTTATAGCTGTACCTCTTGGAAAGTTCACAAAGCAGTTGTGAAATTTGAGCTTCTACGATTCCAAAGGGTTTCATGAAATCTATTTATAGCTGTATCTTTTGGAGAGTTCACAAAGCAGATATGAAATCTGAGCTTCCACGATTCCAAAGGGTTTCCTGAAATCTATTTATAGCTGTGCCTTTTGTAGAGTTCACAAACCATAAAAATAAATGAAAATGAAATGAAATGAATGGAGTTTTACCTCCTGCTTTTCTGCACCATAGAAGACAGTTAACGCCATGCAGGGTGCAATGAGGGAAATTTTGCCAGTACAGTGGCATTAGCCTGCTCTGTTTTGATTTCCAACTGTGGAGGGATCTTTAATGTGCACAGCCTGTAGTACACGGGGCCTCGGTTTATTGTCCCATCTGAACGACTAGACACTTTTTCAAGTAAAAAGGCAAAAATACAGGACACCTACCTTCCCTCTCTGATCTCAATAGTTGAAGATCGTGATACCACATCCCGAGACGCCAAATCTTTAGCAGTGGGGGCATAACGCTCCATAAATCTCTCTCCCTCAGAGTTGATGAGGTACCCTCCCTCACCACGTGAACCCTCTGTGATCAAACAGCCAGCTCCGTAAATACCTAGAAAAGAAACGAAAAAAAAATTTTTTTTACAAAGATAACAACTTAGGTTCATGAGGATCCTTTCTACCAGCTGGTCCTTGGCAAAACCTCTTGGTATTGATCTTTCCTGGATTATCTGTACCCATTTACAGCTGGGTCAACTGGAATAATGAGGATCCTGTCTATCAGCTGGTCCTTAGCCAAACCTCTTCGCATTGATATTTCCTGGATTATCTGTACCCATTTAAAATTGAGTTAACTTTCATATGCCGATTGAGATTAGAGCCCACAACCACCACTTGTTAAACGTAACTAAGCAAATGACATCATGTAAAGATTTCAACACTCTAACCAACTGCGCTACAGAATCCCTCATAAAGGTAACAAAATAGAGAAATTCATCAATTGAAAAAACATGTTAATTTGAATCCTCCTAAAGGTAAGAAAATTTCTGATGCCACTGCCAGCGCTTCTGAAAGTCAACTTCTAATGACTGGAGAACATTCTCAAATTTGTTGTCACTGTGTAAAATGTTCATCCCCAGCTTGGCAAGAATTTTATGAGAGTAAAAAAAACGTGCATTCTACACACAAAAATATTCAGTATGTTTACCTGTAGGATGGAACTGTATAAATTCCATGTCTTCGTTGGCAAGACCAGCTCTGTTTACCATAGCTGTACCATCTCCTGTACACGTATGAGCTGATGTACACGAGAAATACGCTCTACCATAACCCCTGGGGATAAAATGCAATGAATTGGAATTTTATAACTTATTGGTTTAATGAAATGACATAAGATTCAACCTGCGTCCCTACTGAAGTTTGACAAGTAGAGATCTTCAGACAACTGACCTATTTTCAGTCTGCGTCCCTACTGAAGTTTGACAAGTAGAGATCTTCAGACAACTGACCTATTTTCAGACTGTGTCCCTACTGAAGTTTGACAAGTAGAGATCTTCAGACAACTGACCTATTTTCAGTCTGTGTCCTACTGAAGTTTGACAAGTAGAGATCTTCAGACAACTGACCTATTTTCAGACTGCGTCCCTACTGAAGTTGGACAAGTAGAGATCTTCAGACAACTGACCTATTTGACAATCTACTTACCCAGTGGCCAAGATGGTATTTTTCGATTTAAATCTATGAATTGAGCCATCTTCTAAACAAAGGGCAATAACTCCTCGGCATTCTCCATCTTCCATGATGAGATCCAGGGCGAAATACTCAATAAAATAGTTGGTGTCGTATTTCAATGACTGAAATTAAAAATAGAATTTGTCTTAAAGGGACAGATGTGCCATTTTCAAGTGTTGATTTGTGTCTTGAATATATATAAATAGTCTTCAGAAGTACTAGAAATGTACGAAAATCACATAATTCCTTTAAAAATATCTCAAACTAGGAATTTTACTCACTATTTCTATAGATGTCTTTTCTATATATCACAGTGTCTCAAGAAAAGACGACTCGTCTTTTTAACTTTCAAACGCGGATAATTCTGAACATTATGGATTTGAAGACTCAAATTTCTAAGTTACTTATGCTCATCTCATGCTGCTGATGGATGTTTCAGATACATGATCCTCACCAGGACAGCATGTGTAGTGTAAATAAGACTACATGAAAGTACACTATTGTAAAAACTGTTCAACTTACACGTCCATATAAGGTATGTAGTAAAGAATGTCCAGTCCTATCAGCCACACAGCAACAACGATGAGCTTGACCTCCCTTGCCGAACTTTAAACTTTGACCTCCAAATGCCCTCTGATAAATTTTACCATTTTCCAAACGACTAAACGGCATACCATAGTTTTCCAGCTAAAAATTTTTAAAAACAAAATTCTCTTTCAAAGATCAGATTGAATTGAAATGAGACTATTGAAGACAGGCAACAACATGCAGTGTACAATGAGGGAAATTCTGTCAGGACAGCTGGTTCTTGTAAGCATAACAAATTGTGGGATAGCTAAACCCAAAGAGCCTGTCATATTGCTCTACTTTAGGTTTCGCTATCCCACAATTCATTATGTTATCAAGATGCTTTGATTGGTTAAAAATAATGTCAATAGAACAGGATTGAGATGGAAATCTTGTCAGATCACAATGAAGATGAACAATATCAGTAAAACAAAAGAAACAAAACTGTAATCTAATTCTAATTAGATTGCTCACATGAACTTTGACCATACCATCTGAACTTCAACCTTTGACCCCAGAATACTGACCTCAATGACGGCCTTTGGTGCCTCTTCACACATGTATTGGATAGCATCTTGATCTCCCAGCCAATCAGAACCTTTCACGGTGTCGTAGAAATGATACTTCCAATCATCTTCTTCCATGTGACCCAGCGCAGCATTAATACCACCCTATAAAAAACAAGGGCAATAACTCAAAATAATGAGAGCAAAAACTCAAAATACAGGGGGAAAAATAGCTTAAAACTACATGTCAAACATAAAGTGGTTGTGGGTTCTAATCTCAGTCGGTCGTGACTTCGAATAAGTCATCCTTCCTCATTATTCCAGTCAACCCAGCTGTAAATGGGTACAGATAATCTGGGAAAGATCAATGCCAAGAGATTTGGTCACAGACCAGCTGGTAGAAAGGATCGTCATTATTCCAGTCAAACAAGCTGCAAATGGGTACTGATAATCCAGGTAAGATCTATGCAAAGGGGTTTGATCAAGGACCAACTGGTAGAAAGGATCCTTATCATTCCAGTCAACCCAGCTGTAAATGGGTACTGATAATCCAGAAAAGATCATTCCAAAGAGGTTTGACCAAGGACCAGCTGGTAGAAAGGATCCTTGTCCTAAGATTTCCTACGAAGTTGACATCACAGAATGTTGATGGCAAAAAAAAAAGAAAAAAGGTACAAACCTGGGCAGCAACAGTGTGGGATCGAGTAGGAAAGAGTTTAGTGATACAGGCAGTCTTGAAACCTTCATTGGCCAGACCAAAGGCTGCCCGTAGACCAGCTCCTCCTGCGCCTACTACAACAGCATCATAGGTATGGTCAATGACAGGATAGTCTCTTGAGATCTGAAAAAAATTACCTTATTGACTATACTGCTGACACGTTTCAGATATAAAATACTCATCAGGGCGACTAGATTGGACAATGGGGTCGACATTAGAGAGGTTGAGCAAAATTTGTTTTACCTTACTTATTTACTTATCTTATACACCAATGCCATGAAGTGTGCAATGAGGGATATTTGGCAAAACAAATTTGCAACTGGGATAGTGCAAACGATGGCAGTGGAATAGCTCAGTGGGTAGCGAGTTGGATTGTCGTCTGCTTGGCGATTAGATGCCTCGGCTGGAATCCTCCTCATCCTGATGCCACTGCCAGTCCTTTCGGAAGTGGATATTCAACAATGTAATCGCTACTCTAACCGATGAGTCAAATCACTGGACAGGACTGAAGCATCCAGCACCCAGATTGTATCTTACCTGCGAACCAGTAGAGACATTAGGACTATTGTTGCGCCCATTAACACGAAAACTAAAATCTCGAGATGAACATGATGAGGCTAATGGCTTACTTCCTGTTGTTAGCTGAAATGGAGAAAGCCGTCAATAAATTTCAATTTGTTGGTGCTTTAACAATTCCCAACCAGTAGCCATATTGGTCTTAATGTTGCATGAGCTTATTTTGTGTCAACTTTGTAAGTAAGGCCTGCCCAAACTTGGCAATGTCAAAGATTTGGTTTCTCAATTTCACAAAGTGTCTGCAATATTTCATTTAAAACGTACATCATTTATTGCATTTGACAAAAGGTTGAAATATACCACTTCATTGCAAAGTTTAATACGGCCTGTCTAAAGTAAAAGTGGAGAACGGTACAATTATCATTTTGGTTGCATAATTTGTTTTGATCATAACTTTGCAACAAAGTCTCAACAAAACAAAATGAAAACCTCGTGACAATGCCACAAATTTCATGCAATAAGCATGACAAAGCTTTTTTCTACTCATCTACACAAAATTTATGTCTTATTCAATACTTACAAGAGATTTTATAGCAGTTTTTTGAGCAGTTTGAGCAGACAGCTTCAACAACGACGCCATTTTGGTAACCTTCTGACTTCAAGGTCGTCGAGTTTGCGCATTTATGTTTCTTCCGAAAATTATATAAGCGACATTTTGTTATAAAACACGAATTAATCTTTAAAAATTTGCCTTTCAGTGTTAAAAATTTAGTATGTTTGGTTGTTTTTAATCTAACTGCGCGTTTGGCATAGAAAATAAGTTTTACGTGCAATTTCGTGATGAGCTATTCGACCTTGAACCCATGACTTCCATTTGACCCCAAAGGGTGGAAATCAGGGGAAGTCACTCAATGAGTGTAAAAATTCAGACCACAATTAAATTCCTAAAATGAAATGCTTACTCTTACAGTGCACCTGATGCCAAATTACCACCGATTTTCTCAACTCAGCTTTCCTTTTCGAGAGTTCACATGGTTAAAATATTATTTTGGTAATTCTATTTCTAATTAACTCCATGCAGTGTACAATGAGGGTAATTTGCCAAGACATTAGCCTACTTCTTTTTCCAACTGTCAAGGGATCTTTAACGTACGCAGCCTCTCGGTTTGTTGTCCCATTCGACATTGTTAACCCCTCTTACCTGCATCACTGACAGGGGGAAACCAGGTTGAAAGTAATATCCATAACATAAATGAAACATGGACGCATACTGCAACAGAGAACTCTACTAGGCACAGTGGCAGTTTTGTGTGGTCAGAATGTCATATGAACTTTGCTCTAGGCAAAGGTAGTTTTCTGTATTCAGAATGTTCGTGTATAAAAAAAAACTCAAATTGTATATTGTATATTTTCTGTGATTTGTATAATATACAAACAATAACACTTGTAAAATCTATTGTGCAATTATTCTGAATATACATAAATATACAATTATATACAAAAAAAGTTTACAACAGTTTTCGAAAGTTCATCGCCACTTAGCTTAAAGAGGGCATGTAAGTTCACGTACCCCAAAATGCCATTTTGAAAAGGGTCTTAGTTGGGTCTAAAATCTTTTTTTTTTAAAGCAATCTGATTGGCTTATACAATCACTGGGATAATATCGACCAATAAAATTTCTGGAATTTGAAAGGGATAGACTTCTTGTACATTTGCACCCCTATGTAGAAAATATACAGAAATGGCACACAACTAAGACAAATTACTGGTGTTCCTAATCACCTAAAATAACAACCTATAACAAAAACAACCTTAAGGTGTGTTTTAATATATCTACTGCCATTCTAACGGGTCATTGTGACCAAATGACTTTAAAGGAGACGTACCAGATAAATTCAAGATTTAGTTTATGGCCTGCCATAGCAACACAGCCAAAAGTTCCAAATCTATTTGGCACAATCCCTTTAATTAGTCACAAACAGGTAAATTCTTGAAGCAAATTGACTAATTATAAAATAGCACTCTGTATCATTTATTTCAATAATTAATAAATATTTATGCAAAAATAAAAAAAAATTTCCAAAAACTTTATGGATAGAGCAAAGATTATTTTGCGGAAAAAAAGTTTCACTTTGATACTATATATATATTGAACAAGTCTACAAATAGTCACTATCAACAAGCCACTTCGCTATCTAAAACCATCTCCTTCACGTCCTTGTCACTCTTTGAGGCGGGCTGTGATTGGTGCGATTGATTAGAAGAGGGAGGAGCTTGCGCGTTATCACAGTTGTCACTTGAGTTTGATTGACTTGTTTGTTCATTGGAGCTGGCTTTTAGTTCCAGCATGTCTATAGTTTGTTGGATATAACGGACAGTTTGTTTACGCCTCATTCTGATGTCATCGTGTCCTTCCGCCTCAACTCCGTCCAATTTTATCAACTCGCGTGTCAGCATCTCCTCCAGAAATTTATATTCTTTGTCCTTGCTTTTTCCCGCAAACGCGTTAACTTTGGCTTCAAGATCCCTGACTTCTTCAGTAACAGCATCTATCGTTTCATTGGCTCGCTCTTCCGCTGATTTCGGTTTTGGAGGTTGTTTTGGTAGTTCAGGTTCCGTTTCCATGGGAACCTGTTCTTGTGTTTTGGTAGGTTCTGGTTCACGATGATATTCTTGATGTGGAGCTTGATAGGTCGTCTGGGGTTGTCCTTGACCTTGCTTGCTGAATTCGTGGACTATGGGTATAACATGGGCCTTGCGTTCCGATTGCTGTGCCGTGTTCGGAGCTCCAGGATGACCCTGACCTTGGTGTGACTGAAACATGGAGGGTGGCACTGGTGACCGCCTCATTCCATCATGGACAGTGTGAGGAATTGGGGAACTCCTTGCACCGTGGTTATGAGAGATTGGAGAACCCCTCGATCCTTGGCGTTCGTGTTGAATATTATGCGTTACTGGAGAACCATGAGATCTCTGAGGTCCAGGCGATCTCTGTGGCACAGGCGATCTATGTGGAACCGGTGATCCTCTCAAATTCTGTCCCAGATGTTGGATTGGAATTTCTCTTGGTATGGAAGACCGGTCGTGGTGATGGCCACCATACTGCTCCGGGTGTGGTTGATGCTGTGGAGTATACTGATGTTGGTTATGCTGTTGACCGTGTCTACCCTCGTGTATTACTGGAATCTCTATACTTCCCTTTCGATCGTAAAAACCAGAACCATGATGCGTACTTTGTTGAGGAGGCGGGTAGCTTAAATGCTGATTGAAACCACTCATATGAGGATAACTCTGAAAGTAGAAAGCATTTAAGAAAATTTTAGTACATTTTGATACAATAAGCGTATATGAAATTTAGCTCTTGGTTGGGAAATGGACCTAATATATCAAGGCCAGAGTGGTGACTTGAAAATACACCCTGCTTCAAAACTGTACACAAAGTCGATCTATGGGGCTTATATCTTGGCTACCCAAACGTTTGATGACATCAGCTCAAAAGTGTCAGCTGTCAAGACATATTTCCCATATTTTTCACTTTTCACCATGTTTTCAACCATAATTCGACTTCGTTTCAATCAATTTACGGTATTAGGCAATATTATTTATGCAACATCATAAGTTTTATAGAAAATTTACTAAAATACATAGATCTGAAGGTCTAACGAGAATCAACAAACAATTTCAATAGAATGAGAAAACATAAATTTGACATATTTCCACTAACTTACCATCGACATTCTGGGGTCGTCCCAAGTCGTAGTCTTCGAATTGTGATCCACAAAATATGGACAACTGCTTGCGTTATCAATGTACATTTCCCAACCTGGCGGTAGTCCTTTATTATTAACACTAGGGTGATATCCCGACATTTTTCTTTTTATTTGACGAAGAAGTCGTTCAGGAAAATGTCGGAAGTTTCTGGAAGAGTCGCCACCTGGCGAGGGGATTCTAGAACATTCGGGGGATAACTCTGTCAAAATTCCGTACAGCGCATCACCCGAAAATGAAAAATTCTGAATTTTGGCTTTAAAATTGAAATGTTTGGTCCAAATTGCCCGAAATATTTTGAAAATTATTTGAGTTCTCAAAAAATAAAAAAAGTTAATCAAAATTAGCGAAGAAAGACAAAAAAAAATTTCGGTCATGGCTGCGTAGGAGCATCTCAATTGAGGTCAAGTAAGGTGCAGTTTTTAAGATGAAAGAAATTTCAATAAAAAAACCGGTCTTTGAACAAGTTCTTATGTTTTTATTTGAGTGACGTCCACTTTAAAACATCTTGGCGAAATCTCGTCTGCCATGAAATATTTCAAATGACCTTTTATGGTTTGGGAAATGTTTTGTTAGGCCTGACGAGTCAAAATGTACCAAATTGGAAAAAAACAAACCAAGTTAAAAAGGAGGGGGGAGGTTGCTAAAGCTGTTGTCCTGGAAAATTCCCCTCATTGCACACTGCATGGTGTTGTTTGTATTGCAGGCAAAATAAAAACAATCCAATTCAATTCATAGCAAGAAAAATAAAAGACCTGTAGATAAAAGCTATTTTTATTAATAGTCACTGTTTTCCAGTTAAGATACAAGAATAAAAACGTAAAGCACAATAAAAGATGGCATGATTCAATCATTCTTAATTCTCTACTTTTATTTTCCCCTTCAACATTTGGGACTTTGACTAAAATTCACGAAAAAAACCAGCCAATCTTTGAAATGAAAAAGGCCCAATTTGTCAAATTTTGTTTTAAAAAAAAATTGCACCTTTTAAATTTTTGTCTTTTAAATCAAAGCAGGGGAATGCAACTTTAACATACATTAAAGGGATAGATTCACAAATTTCAGACCTTAAACACAATCTAACCAACAAAATTCAATCTTACAATGATAAAATTATTGGGCATGTCCCCTTTAATAACATTTGGCGCATGATAATCAATACAATATAAGAGCCATCATTTGATTGGATTAAAGGCAGACTACATTTCGATTGGATAAAAATACTTCATTGTGATTGGTTACAAAGGCAATCTAACATGATTGGTTGATACAAATATAAACAGTTAATACGATTGGTTAATACACAACACAAAGACTAGTAATTGATTGGCCAAAACTTAAGATTGGATTCGCATCTTCATGAGAACGTACTAAGTTACAAAATGTACCCAATTTTATAAAAGCATCTTGGAAAAGTAGCCAAATTCACTTAGAGGCAATATGAGTCAAAGTTACAAAATGTACCAAATTGGAAAAAAACAAACCAAGTTCAAATTTGTTTACTCATTTTCATGAAGCTAAGTAACAAAATATACCCATTTCCATGGCAACAAGTAACAAAATGTACCCATTTCCATGGCGCTATGTTACAAAATGTACCCATTTCCATGACACTATGTTACAAAATGTACGCATCTCCATGACGATGTGGAATCCACTCTGAAGACATAAAAGGCATCTTGGAAAAGTCAGCATAACGTATTGCATTCGACTAAATTAATTAAAAGACTATTTTCTGCCCCTTTGTCCTTCCTGACAACAAGTTTGACAATTATTTCAAAAATAAAATGCATGTCTGGATATTTTGTTTCCTTTTTTTTTCATCTGGGTTACTTGACGCATTCTAAATGGTGAGCAAGTCAACCCTGCGAAAAATTAGAATGCAAAATTTCCAGACCTACATTTAAATCGATTGCATTCATGAAATATTTGTCTTAAAATGTCTTTGGATCATAAAAAACAAGTTAAGTAAAAAATCTCCAGTCAAAATAAAATTAGACCTAACTTTGGTTCCATTTTTTTTTATCAGCTTTTTTTTTTAATATAGCCACTTCAGCTAGGGTCTAACGACAGCCCACTTCAACGTTCATCAAATTAACCTTCTGACCTTATTCTATGATGTTTGCTTTAACCAATCAAATTTCCATCCTTTCCAGTGCTGCCATTTTGTGAGGCTACCTTTACCGAGTTAGGTTAATTTGACGAACATATTAAGAGGGCTGTCGTTAGACCCTAACTGGAGTGGTTATACTAAAAATAAAAGCTAATAAAAAACGGAACAAAAGTTTCTTCTTTTTTATATGTTGTTTAAATCAAATTCTGAAATGATATGTGCCTATGTTTTTATTTTTCTCAACCCAAAGACACCTGAAGACCTTCAGTATAGTTTAAAGATGGGTTCCCTTACTTTCATTAAGAAAATGAAAATGCTAATACTTATATGAATAGAAAGTAGAGGTGTTCTAATGACTTGGAAAAATACCAGTTTGTCTCACATGTCCATAATTAATTCATAATTAGCTAAATTAGAAGAGAATTACCAGCAGAATTCCAATGAGTGACCGAAAGGTCAAAAAGTCTTTTTTTGTTTATCCAGACTGTACATGGTCATTTATGATTGGTTAAAACTCTTAATTATATGCAATAAGAACATAATGATATGATTAAGAATACATGATAATTCATTAGACACACCAATTAATCAAATAGTTTGCTTAATTTGACACTAAAAAATAAGGAAACCCATCTTTAATTTGACACTAAAAAATAAGGAAACCCAACTTTAAAACTTGATATTTCAATTCATTTAAAATTATTCGCATAATTTGATTCAAAAATCATATATATTAATTTATTCGTGGATTAAAAAGGGGGCTTAGAATTCATAAATTGGATATTTTCCAAAATTTGCATAGGAACCTATATGCTTTGGGACTTAACACATGCAAATATGCCAAAAAAATGAATTTTTGGGACGAGTGTCCCTTAAAGAGGCTGAAATGCTTGTATTTTATCGTTGTACGAAAATTCCAAAAATTGGTCCCTTAATTCTATATATATATATATAAGCAGCAAAATAAGCCAAAATATTAAATCATTTACTAGCTTTTTCTAAATCTATAATGAATTTTGCAGGGTTTTGTTCAAATTTGATCAAAAATTCCATGAGTTATTGCAAGATCAGCAAAATTCTATTAGGTTTCAAAATAACTAAATTTAGTCAGCAAAATCAGCCAAAATATTCAATGCGTCGCTTAATTTTTGGAATCAAACCATTATATTTTGGCTGATTTCGCTGTCCATGTACCTTAAATCTAAGCAGCAGAATTTATTGCTTTGAGGCAAGTATGAAACTAGAATCAAAATATGATATATTCAACTTTCTGTTTGAAATTTCCAACGAAATATGCCAAAATATCAAATACTCTTTCAATAAATGTTTACTACACATTAAATTTTGGTGGGTTTGGTTTCCCTGCAAGATCAAATATGCCAAAATGTAAAACCACAGTTGACTAAAGCTCTACAGAACAATATATTTTGGCAAGTTTGGTTGGACAATACCAAGCAGTTTGTTCAAACCCAATTCAACACATCAAGTTGGAAATTTCAAAAGTTTTAAAATATGCATATAAAAATGGAGATATCCCGGCTTACTTTTGATTGGTTGCTTGAGAAATAAAAGCACCAATCAAATTTAAAGTTCTCCACCATTAAAAGACAACATTTATGATAATTTTTTGGATAAATATAGACTATTTACAATAAAATATTCCTATCATTAAAATAAGCTTCATTTTTTTTCTTTGGGCAACTTCTAGATATAAAATGGCGTTGGTATACAAATCGTCACTGAAATTTTACCCGTTGCAAACATTGGCAACTCGAGAAGACAAAGAAATTTGTGTTCAGCATCTTCACAATTACAAACTTCCTCTTATACCTTGACTGCCATAGCCACTATTCTTGTATCTTCACAATGTCAAGCTATTACAAACTACGTGTAATACCTTGACTGCAATGTCAATTTTCTTCACAATGTCAAGATATTACAAACCTTGACTTATACCTTGACTGCAATAGCCACTATTCTTGTATCACAGAATGCAGCGATTTGATTAGATTGTATGCCCTAACAGACTTATAATCCAATCAAATTGCTTCATTTACAAACTTCTGTGATACAAGAAAGGTGACTATTGCAGTCAAGGTATAAGACAAAGTTCATAATAACTTGACATTGAGAAGATACAAGAAAGGTGGCTATTGCAGTCAAGGTATAAGACAAAGTTCACAATAGCTTGACATTCTGAAGATAAGCTTAAACAGGAGCAGTCCATTTTACTTAAAGGTAGAATAAATAGTAATAGAAACCATGCCAGTCTGATTTTATTGTGTTCATTACCACTTATATTACCTAAATATAAAATAGACTATTCTGGTTTACATTTGGAATAGTCCATGTATGTGCCCAAATTTCTTTGCTTAGCTAAGGATGTCGATTTGGCAATTCAACTAAAATGAATTAAAGGGATTGTAAAGAAGTTTTCTAAATTTTCTATGTGTATCAGGGACACTGATAGCATCAATTTGTACCATTTCAATTTTCAATCAGACGTCTGTGATACCTGCAATTCCACTAACAAAGTCCCTTCTGATACACATACAAAATTTAGAAACTTTTCCACAATCATTCCTATGTGAACTCTCAAAAATAACATATTAACGAAAACCATCACCAAAAATGACATTAAATTAAAAAAAATTGGAATTGTCTGTGGGAATCTTTAGTACTGGAATTTTGGTGGGGATTTCAAAATATGGTGATTTCCTTAGTTTTGATATTTTTGGTTACGAAAAGAATTTTGAGACATTTTCTTTTGGATTTTAAATTCATTTTGAACAAAAAAATTTGACATTTTGAGCTCAGATTTGAAAAGCCGCGATTAATTTTTTTGAATATGAGAATTTTGAATCATGGGCAGCAAATGATTTTGAGTATTTTGTACGCAATTTGTTTTTGACTGGTCCGTTTTGATTAGTCCAAAATGGCTGACTGACCAAACAAACGCACAGCGAAGATATTTCTAATTTGTAGGGTTTATTGAATAGTGATGTCATCCAATCTCGAGCTAAAATATGACGTCACTTTGGGTGGTGTCCATATTTTGATGGTGAAACAAATTTGTCCAAACTGATGAAATATAGATTTGGGCGTTGCGTTTTGTGATTAAGCAGTACATGAATTTCACCTGAAAAAATTTGCCTTTTGTTTGCAGGTTTGTAAGAAAGTTCATTTTCAAAATTGAGAAAAAGAGACCACGCAGGGGTCAGTAAATTTCAGACTAATATTTTGGGGGATCAAAACAGCCGTATATGTTGAAAAAAAAAGAGCCAAATTGGTTGAAGAAAACTCAACGGACTCTCTAAATTGTCAACTGTCCTTCCCTACAGGACACAGATATCCAATGTCAGCACAGAATGTTCAAATTCATAAGCTCAAAGTGGTCTCAGGTGTTTTTTAACAACGGTATAAGGTTGAAGAAAGGAGTTGAAAAACTGAATTTGAAGAAACAAAAAGTTGAAAACTCAATGACACACTGATAGTAGGTGATAAGACTGGGACTAGAGAAATTTTGATGATTTCATTTTGAGGCATAAAATTAATTTTATTCAACAAATATTTGAAAAAATTTCATGATAAAATATTTAAAAACATGTCCGACATTTTTCATTCAACAAAACAGCTGACTTCAGCAACCATTTCTGCCTAAAAATCAACTTAACATGGTAAACATTTGACTGACTGCGATATATTTTGACACAATTGGTTGCATGAGTTAAATTTAACAACTAATGCTGCCAAAATATTGATTTACTGACCGTTTAAAAAAGTAATTGATAAAAATTTTGACATGATTGGTTGCCACAGATGCAACCATTTCCTCCAAAAAAGCAACTGAATAAATAAATAAATTACTGAATATTTGATTTTTTGACATGATTGGTTGTCACAGATGAATTCTGCAACCATTTCCTCCAAAATATCATCTGAATAAGTAAATAAATAACTGAATATTTGATATTTTGACATGATTGGTTGTCACAGAAATAATTCTGCAACCATTTCCTCCAAAATATCATCTTAATAAGTAAATAAAGGACTGAATACTTCATATTTTGACGTGATTGGTTGTCACAAATGAATTCTGCAACCAATTACTCCAAAATATTATCTGAATAAGTAAATAAATGACAGAATATTTGATATTTTGACACGATTGGTTGTCACAGAAATAATTCTGCAACCATTTCCTCCAAAATATCATCTTAATAAGTAAATAAATGACAGAATATTTGATATTTTGACACGATTGGTTGTCACAGAAATAATTCTGCAACCATTTCCTCCAAAATATCATCTTAATAAGTAAATAAATGACTGGACATTTGATATTTTGACATGATTTGCTTTAAAAAACATCTTAAAACAATGGAATGAACATGTTCTCCACAGACATATTTTGAGCTTAGCTCATAATTAGCACAATTGATAATTAAATAGCGAAGATTAAAAAAAAAAAGATAAAATAAATAAAATTTTAATGATTAAGATTTCATTTCATTCAATTAGGATTCACAGCCATTTTGGACATCACATGACTTCCATATATGGCAATAGAGGGGATGAATTCCAAATATGGTGATCACATGATCTGGGATTCCAAAAATGGTGGTCACATGGTCTTGATTTCCAAATATGGAAATTCTGTTTATGTACCATATATAGCAAGGGGCACAAAAGCCATTTTAAAGATTTTTTGAATAAATGTCCATATAAGGACAAGGATTCCAAATATGGTATTAATATGATTTGAGATTAAAAACTTCAAGATATGCCCATACACGAATAAGCATTCCAAATATGGCAATCATGTGACCTGGGATATGCCCATATATGGATTTGAATGCAATTTCCATATAAGGAAGTGAATTCCAAATATGGTAATCATGTGACAAGGAAGATGTTAGGCGAAGTACATGACTTTAGTTGTGTCTGGATGAATGGCGACAGCACGGGCCATGGAGGCTGGAGTACGATCTTCACTGTTGTCTGAATGACGGCTGCCCTCACCACTGAAAAATTTTTAAAAAAAAAGTCTTCAATAATGTGAACTCTCTAGACCAAAATAGAAATGATTTTGTAAACCCAGAAGGTAAGACATAATTTTGTGGAATCTGCAAGTGAAACAAAAAATGGAGAAAACCCAGAAACACCCAAAACAACTGGAATGTATCGAAATTTTTCTCAAGTATCAGGATAACTTATCAGATTGAGAATCCTGTATGCAGTTTGTCTGCAATTAATTACCAAAATAATATTGCTAACAGTTTGTCTGCAATTGATTTAATATTTATCCCAACTTTAGAGGGGTCTTTAATGTGCACAGCCTACAGCTTAATGTGTATATATTCATTCTACTGAGCTTCTGAAGATGGGTAACACCAGACGGTGTGCAATTAGGGAAATTTTACCAAAATCATTGAACGTCACAAGTTGTAAGTCCTACTCTTTTCTGCAGACAGCGGTATAAGCCTGCTCTTTTTCAAAATACTGGTTGAGGACCGAGGATCTAGAAGGAAGCTGTTGAGGATACTGACCTGTCGTGATCTTTCTCCACCAGATGATATCGAGCTCGGAAGGCAACGAGATGTGCATAATAAGCTGGGGCCGGTATGGACACGCTGCGAGTACAGCGAACATACGTATGACACAGTTGGTAGGTCAAGATTTGGAGTTCATCAGCAGTGAAACGGTTATCATCCCACAACACGTGATAATGTGAAGGGCGACTAGTTCCCTAGAAACAAACAAAAAATAAGGTGATGACAAATGTAATGTAGTACACAATGGGGGAAATTTTTACAGGATAACTTACAGTGTAATTAAAATCAGGCCAAACTTTCATTCCGTTTTTTTATTGGCTTTTATTTTAATGTAGCCACTTCAGTTAGGGTGTAACGACAGCCCTCTTGGACAATTTAACCTTTTGACCTAAGTTGATAAAGACAGCGTCACAAAATGCCACTTCTTGATTGGTTAAAGCAGACGTTATTGAGTTAGGTCAAAGGGTTATTTTGACGAATGTTCAAGAAGCCTGTCGTTAGACCCTAACTGAAGTGCTTCTCCACATAGTGTACAATGAGAGAAATTTTTGCCATAGCAGTTTCTATCAATTTCTAACTGTCGAGGGATCTTTTATGTGCACAACCTGTAGCACACAAAGCATTGGATTAGTGCCCCATCCCTCAACGCTTTCCCTAAACTTGGACGTACCTGGATTCCAGCATGACTACAAAGATAAAAATCAAATTCTGTGGGGTGAGTGATACCAACATCAACTGTAGTGCCGGCGGGGATGTTTCCACTTCGGCCAGTTTGGTCTTTACGGTCAGCACAGAAGAGACGGGTGTGGTGACGTTTCTGCACCACAATGAAGGTGATGCCTGGTTGATACCCCACCTCTAATTTCATACAGGCTTCTCGCACAGCTCGTAACTCACTGCTTAATACCTGAAATAATAACAGAATATTAGTCATCATGGCTCCTGTTCAGCGAGTTCAAATTCCTTCTTCATTAAACCAGACGCTCAATTACAGCGCAAAAATTAAACGAATTTTACTTTTCTGTACCCGATTGGGCTAATGAAGACCGGCAACGACATGCAGTGTACAATGAGGGAAATTTTGCTAAGACAACTGCATTGGTTAACTCTTTTTCAATTTCCAACTGTCGAGGGATCTTTAACGTGCACAGCCTGTAGCACACGGGGCCTTGGTTTATTGTCCCATCTGAACGACTAGACGCTTTTTCCATGTCAGCCTCTCTTACCTGCATCACAGACGGGGGGGAAACCGGGTTGAAAAATCCAAAGGTATTATCTCAAACTATGCTCAATCCAGGGGAATTGAATTGGTTTGAATGGAGTTTTACGTCCTACTTTTCTGCATCATGTGGGCTAATCAACACAGGCTCAATTCAGGGGAGACAAATTTAAATCACGGGTAATCCGACTTACCGTTTGGAATTGTCCCTCACTCACACCATCCCTGTAGAATATAATCCGGGTTGGTTTGAAACGGGTGGATTTATAAAACTGGATCAATAATTCTCGAATCATGTTACATAACTCTGGAATAACTTCTTGACGATGCTGCTGAACTCGGACGGTTGCCGAGTAACGACTAGGATGGGCATCCATCGAACCTACGACCTGTAATAGACAAAAGAGTGGATGATCAAACAGGTCCTACATGCTTTGATTGGTTAAAAATAATTTTCATTAGAACAGGACTGTGGTATAAAACCTGTTAGATTACAATGGAGAGGTAACTACAGCAAAAAAAGCAACGAAATTGCAACCTCATTTTAATTAGGCAACTGCAACTGAGACGCCCAAAAGTGTGCAATGGGGAAATCTGCTAGGATATTTAGCTTTTCGATATTCAACTGTTAAGGCAACTTTAAGCTTTTAGCACACACAGGGTCTTCATTCCTTGTCCTATTTGACAACTTGAAGCTTTTTCAGTCAGCTCCTCCTACCAGCATCACTGACCGGGGGAAACCAGAGATGAACAAGTCCAAAATGAGTCCCAATACTTACAGCCGCAATGGATGGTTTCATACAATCACCAGCTGGCGGATGGGTCACGTCAGCTCCAAGGAATATGATTGGCTCTCGGAATACTTGAGGTCTAAAAATAGACAACGGAGAGCCATGTAACGAAGTAAGTGAAAGAAAAGCTAAGACCACTTTATAAAGGACAACTTCAGGATCTTGCCTTCCAGGTGTTCCAAGGTCAAACCTCTTGGCAACGATTTCAAAAGGATAACAACTTAGGTTCTCGAGGATCATGTGTACCAGCTGGTTCTTGGTACTGATATTTTTTTTAGATTATCTGTACCCATTTACAGCTGTGTTGACTGGAATAATGAGGATCTTGTCTACCAGCTGGTCCTTGACCAAACCTCTTGGTATTGATCTTTCCTGAATTATCTGTACCCATTTACAGCTGGGTTGACTGGAATAATGAGGATCTTGTCTACCAGCTGGTCCTTGACTAAACCTCTTGGTATTGATCTTTCCTGGATTATCTGTACCCATTTACAGCTGTGTTGACTGGAATAATGAGGATCTTGTCTACCACCTGGTTCTTGGTCAAACCTCTTGGTATTGATCTTTCCCAGATTATCTGTACCCATTTACAGCTGGGTTGACTAGAATAATGAGGATCCTACCAGCCCAGCTAGTCCTTGGCCTAGCTTGGCAATTATCTACCTTATCCATGTACAGCTGGGTTGATTAGAATAAGCCGACCGAGATAACAAGCCACGATCACCATTTGTATGACGTAACCAAGCAAATGATGTCACGTAAAGATTCCAACTGACTGTGCTACAGCACTCCCTCAAAAACACAAAAATGTCATTTAAGGATCAATTGATGTAAAGATTCCAAATCTCTAACTGCCTGTGCTACAGCACTCCCTCAAAACACAATGAAGTAGTCAAGTGTAGAGTGGTGTAAGGTGACATACCTGATACTTGGTAACAAGATACTGTTAATACCTCCTAACTTAACGTTGATTTTTAAACACAGATTGGACAGTGTCTGGGGAGTGGTTTTGTTCACGTTTTTAGACTGAACACATTGAGTGGCTAGACCAAACAAGATGTCCCCAACTCTTTTTACTTCAGCTGAAAATAATAAATACTGAATTGAAATCTATGTTATGAAGTGTGCAATGAGGGAAATTTGCAGGGATACCACAATGGTGTTCCAACTTTTATTGGTCGTTATTCAGTTGAAAGAAATGAAATGAGTGGAGTTTTTACATCCTACTTTTCTGCACCATGTGGGCAAATGAAGACGGACAACACCATGCAGTGTACAATGAGGGAAATTTTGCCAGGATATCGGCATTAGCCTGCTCTTTTTTACGATTTCCTGTAGCTTGCAGGGCCTTGGTTTTTTGTCGTATCCAAACAACTAGACACTTTTTCCATGTCAGCCCCTCTTACCTGCATCACTGACAGGGGAAACAGGTTGAAAAATCCAAAGGTATTATCTCGCCCTATGACAGGATTGAACCCTGGACCTTCAGGTTATTCAGACTTATGAATCCAGTCTCCCAGCAAACGCCAGATTCTAGCAATCATGTTTTCCCTGAGCCCCTCTGTGATTCACTAATTCACCCCAGCTCCCCCAATAAGAAGTTTGGACCTACCGTAAACTGGGGTCTTTCCAGGTAAAACAACCACTATGAGCTGTAGTCCTTGATATGTGTTCTTTAAGTAACGGAACATTGGTTCCACTTGATCTGGGCCTGTAGCATATTTACAGAAACATGGCTGACCCATGATCGGCATTCCGGCGTCATTGGATATTCTTTGAAGTTGAGATGTAAAATTCCTGGAAGTAACAGACATTACGATGCTTTACAACTGGTGGTCACGTAAGGAAAAAAAATAACTACTTTTTTTTTACAAGATGATGTGAGGTTCATGGGGATTTTTTCTGACCAGCTGGTCTCTTGGCATTGATCTTTCCCGGATTATCTGTACCCATTTACAGCTGGGTCGAATGAAGCACAGTTGGTTAGAGCCTTAGTTCTTTATGTCGAGCAAATGGTGGATGTGGGTTCCGATCTCGATCGGCGTGTGAGAGTCCGATGACCTTGAATAAGTCATCTTCACTCACAATAATTCCAGTCAACCCAGCTGTAAATGGGTACTGATATCTAGACCTATGCCAGGATTGAACCCTGGACCTTCAAGTTAGCGAGCAAGCATCTAACTCCATGAGCCACTGCGGCTTCCTATTTCCCTTTAAGATCGATGACTTCTTACCTTAAGGCATCCTCTCGTACAGTTCTTGATGGAGCGAAACAAGCAATAGCCCACACACGGATTTCAATTCCCTGATAAAACTGTTTACCTCTCATATCCCACACACCTTGATTGGGCACTGCTTGAGATTTCGTCTAAAATAAGAAATAGTGAGTTTAAAGATGGTTTCCTCATTTCTTAGTATTAAATTAAGCAAGGTATTTGATTAATTGGTGTTTCTAATGAATTATCATGTATTCTTAATCATATCATTATGTTCTTATTGCATATAATTAAGAGTTTTAACCAATCATAAATGTCCATGTATGTACAGTCTGGATAAACAAAAAAAGACTTTTTGATCTTTCTTGATAGGTCACTCATTGGAATTCTGCTGGTAATTCTCTTCTAATTTAGCTAATTATGAATTAATTATGGACATGTGAGACAAACTGGTATTATTCCAAGTCATTAGAACACCTCTACTTTCTATTCATATAAGTATTAGCATTTTCATTTTCATAAATAAAAATAAGGGAACCCATCTTTAAGGGAACCATATTGGAAACATCAACAGGCAATCCTTAAAGGGGGAGTGAGCTTTAGAAGAAACAGGAAAAGAATGCTCATAAAGACATATAACTGGTACTTAAAGAGATTGTAAAAAGGTTTCCTAAAAATTTTTTATGTATATCAGAGACACTGATATCATCAATTTACATCATTCCAATTTTCAATCAGACGTCTGTGGTTCCTGTAATTCCTCTAAAACTAAGTATTTGATGACGTCACTAATCGCAAAATATGCTTTATCACGTAAGTCCTTTCGCAATTAATGACGTCATCAAACACTTAGTTTTAATGGAATTGCAGGAACCACAGACGTCTGATTGAAAATTAGAATGGTGTAAATTGATGATATCAGTGTCCCTGATACACATAAAAAAATGTAGAAAACCTCATTAGAAATCCCTGTTAAAAAATATATGAAAATTGTAAAAATAGCTAATTTTTTTTCTAGAATCTTAGTATTAAACTTATTTTTTCTAATTTAAGAGAAGAGAGAAAAACTTTTATTTTGAAAAATTTGAATTTGTAGCAAAAATAGTAAATGAGGTGTATGGACCCATGCACTGAAGGAATGATAATGACCCTATATAGCAAATACTATTTTGCAAATGATATCAAAAAATAGCAAATAATCATAAGAATGATCTAATATTTTGTGGACAAAGGAGCATGACAAGTCCTATTTTGCAATTAATAGCAAAAAATAGCAAATAATTTTAAGAATCATAGAAGACAAGTATTGTACTTTAAGGCAACATCAATGACATCAACAAATGTAGCAATTTTGCAAATAATAGCAAAAATAGCAAATTTTTTTTTTGAAGAATTTCAGAGAATTCTTCTTCCATTTAGTCCAAGAGCATCACAATTTGCATAATCGTACATTTTGTTTTGTTGGCAAATCCATCAAATTTTGCAAATGACAGCAAAAATAGCAAATTTTTTACGAAAAATTAATACCAAATCTTTCTATAGGAGCATCACAATTTGCATAATCATACATTTCGTTTCGTTCCGTTTCGTTTCGTTGGCAAGGGAGCATGACAATATATACATAAGAATCATCCACTTTTGCAAATAATAGCAAAAATAGCAAATTTTTTATGAGGAGCATCACAATGTGCATAATAATACATTTCATTTCGTTGGCAAGGGAGCATGACAATACATACAGAACAATCATAGACATTTTGCAAATAATAGCAAAAATAGCAAATTCTTTATGAAAGAGAATTCTGATTTCAGATAGGAGCATCACAATTTGCACAAAATAGCAAATAATAGAAAAAAATAAACTTTGAATATTGATATTTTTTTCATGACCTGGGCAAATATTTACATAACATAAGAAGTTGCCAATGTAGCAAATAATAGCAAAAATAGCAAATGTGTATATTCTTACCCTTCCGCCATATTGCAATTTAGGAGGCTGAAGAACGCGACCATGACACTCTACCATCTGCTGAGATATGCTGATACCGAAAGTTTGGAGGTACTGATCGGCGTTAAAACTTGCTTTACGAACCTGTGAGGGTGGGGGCGAAAATTACGGGCATCCAACATTATTGATTGGTCCAAAAAAATCATAAAACAACACAATCAGATGAATTTGCAAGACTTAAAATAGCCAATAAAATTTTTAAGTTAGTTTTGAAAATCGAAATTTTTATGCAATTTTTGAATTTTTTGGAGATTTCAATGAAAATTTTCAACTATTTTTTTAAGCAGTTTTATTAAACTTTGTTTGCAAGGAGCCACGGCTTTTCCGATACAAATCCCAAAAACCAAACGATTTTAGCAATTTTATGACACATTCTAAATCTTGCAAACCATCCTCAAAAAATTTCCTTTCATTCCATCAAAAGCCAACGATACATCGAATGTGAATTTTCGTTTGCTTTTGATAATGAAAAGAAAGGTGTATAAATATATGCCTACCCGGCCTCCATACTGGATTTTAGGCGGAGTTAGGACTCGACCTTTGACCTCTACCATGTCATAAGAGACTGTGATGCCGAAGGTACGTAGATAGTGGTCGTGGTTAAAATCGGCAATCGATACCTGATGGTGAACAGTTATTCATGTTTTACAACCCATCTTTAAACATAGTGGGTGGGGCTTAGGAACTGGTGGGAGGGGTTAGTGGTACTGGTAAGCGTGGCTCGATACACTTAAGTTTTACATCTTTATACATAGTGGGCGGGGCCAATAGTACTGGTGGGCGTGGCTACATGTTTAACAACCAACCTTTATACATGGGTGGGTGGAGCTAATGGTTCTAGTGAGTGTATTATTGATACAATGTGGGTGGACATTCAGAACTGAGGGTGGGACTATTTGTGGGGAAGGTTATTAATACTTATAGGTTTTACAAATCCATCTTTATACATAGTGGGTGGGACTAATGGTAATGGTGGGCGTGGCTAGTATTGGACAGGTTATTGCTACTTAGGTTTTACAACCCATCTTTATACATGATAGTGGGTGGGTTTTACTACTAGATGGAGTGGTTAATGGGGTTTTACTACTGGTAGGCGGGGTTTACAAAGTTTTACTACTGGTGGGAGGAATTAACAAGGTTTTACTACTTGTAGGCCGGGGTTTACAGGGATTTACTACTTGTAGGTGTGGTTAACAGGGTTTTGATACAGGTGGGCGGGGTTTAAAGGGATTTACTACTGGTGGGCGGGATAAACAGGGTTTTACTACTGGTAGGCATGGTAAACAGGGTTTTCGCTACTGGTGGGGGTAGTTAACAGGGTTTTGCTTCTGGTAGGCGAGGTTAACAAGGTTTTGTTACTAGTAGGCTTGATTAACAAGGTTTGGCTACTAGTATCTCGACCAATGCCATATAACTCAGTGAACCACTGCAGTTCCTAACAGGGAAAGATGGCATACTACAATAATTCAAGCAAGATGTCAGGAACTTAGATCTGTGGAAAGGAAGGGAGACAGTCAGGAATGGAATTGAAAGAAGGCTGTGAAGGGCGTAGAAAGGGGGTGGGGTGTCGTGCAGGGTAGGGGGAGGAGGAAAGTGATATAAAGATGTTTTGTAAAGAGTCGACAAGGTTTAAAACCATCACCTCTACTATTCACAAAAACCAAACACAAATACCAAATTGGTCAATCAAAATTGAAAACTCTATGCCATGTGCAATGGGGAAAATTTCAACAGGACAGTGGCATTATTCTACTCTTTTTCATGTGTTTTAGAGGTTCTCAGCTTATCAGAAGCAGAACTTAACGAAACTACGTATGGATGGAAATAACACACACGAACATAGTTCACAGCCATTTTGAATCTCTTCTGTGACTTATTTAAAAAGGCTAAAATATTTCAACTACACCTCAGACCTCATTAGAAGCCATTTCGAAAACCTTAATTGTGATTTGAAATATTAAACCTTTATCGAAATTCTACTTATTAAGTCAAGAAAGATATTCAAAATGGTTGTGAACTACGTGTTGACATTATGGTGTTTAGCCCAACCCTGCAATATGATGTTTGATAGTACATTATGGTGTTTAGTGGAACCGCAATATTGATGTGTGTTATTTTCATGTAAGAACCATACGTAATTTCGTATACCTTCAAACCTGCATTCAGGAATGCAGCCGTAAACCTCGTATGCAGATGGAAGTTACGTCCAAGTAACAAAATATAGGCTAGTTCGTTAGAAGTTAGTTATCTCCCTTGAAGACTCTATCCTCCATAGAAAGGAAAAGTCTGGGTGTCAGAGCCTATAATGGAGACGAAAATCAAGCTATTGTCACATGACCTAATATTTGAAAGTAGTCCAATTTATCCGAGAGCTGCATACAAGGTTATTGTCAGACATGGCGAGATTTTCGATTGTCATAAATGGCGTACTTGAATTTTTTTGAATGTGTTTGGTTGTTGTGAAAGTAGACTAGTACATACCAGACATTACCCAGACACTGCAGATACATACACAAGTTGGCGTGACAACGCCGCGTGCGTGTGAATTTGAAAACAAAGAGTTCGACGCTCTTTCGTCAGGGGTTTCTCTGGAAATTTCAAAACACCACATCCCAGAATTTTGAAATTTTGACAGGGGCAGATAATTATCAAAACATGTCTGTTTATCTGCAGTCAAGAACATCCAGTCTCTCATGACATTCAAACAGGACAAAAGTCATAAATTAGGCAAGAAAATAAAATCAAAGGCACAACTTCACTTCTGCTCACTTCATTTGAAGGACTATACAGTTTTGTTTCACATTTTTTCTACGGGTTACTACACACTCCATCCATGATCCAACAAGTTCATTCTGTAAATCGTGTTCTGTAGAAGACTGGCCCAGTAGCATCAACTAGTGTCATAATTTACTCTAACCAATCAAAAACACTATTAAAAGCAGGCAGACAATGTTTTACAATGAATTTCCCAGAATTCCACACATCGAGTAATGAAATCTTTTTTTTGAACAGAGGATTTGATTGGTTGAATATTAAATGACCCTGAACACGTGATGTGTAAAAATCATGATAGATCATGGATGACGAGTGGAATTGCCCACAGAAAAAACATGAAAGAGAAACATCGAGATCTGCATTATTATAATCAGATTGAAAACCCCAACACTCAGTCTCAGAGTGGCATCAGGTATTCAAGAAGTACCAACATTCCCTCTCGCAGTAAATCATTGAACTTGGGAGGTCAAATTGAACTTCCGAACTTCATGAAAATTCTATTGACACCAAATTTTTCAAAAAGACTGCAGTCAGGGCCAAAAGATTTGAGTTCATTTGGAATATCATCTTCCAAATTCTGAAAGTGCTGAACACTTATGCATATAAAGGGACAGATGCGCCATTTCAGAAGTTGATTTGAGTCTTGAATATATGTAAATAGTCTTCAGAAATACTAGAAATGTACGAAAATCACATAATTCCTTTAAAAATATCTCAAACTAGGAATTTTACTCACTATTTCTATATATATCTTTTCTATATATCACAGTGTCTCAAGAAAAGACGACTCGTCATTTGAACTTTCAAACGCGGATAATTCTGAACATTATGGATTTGAAGGCTCAAATTTTGACAGTGAGCTATGAACACTATTACTGATTGGCTTAGCTAAAAAATTCCAGTTTCTGAGACTAAGGTACGATTGGTGAAAAAAATGGCGCACCTGTCCCTTTTTGAGAAAACAATATGAATATAGAATTTCAAAATGGACACTCACCAAATTATTGATCTCTTTTTCTCTGTCAGGTGCAGATCTAGCTGTGGCCTACAAACACCATTATAATTTTAATATTGTGTACAATGAGGGAAATTCTGCTTGGGTAAGTCTGATTTCAAATTCCATTAAAGCACTGGCTATTTTTTTTCAAATGAAAACAAAACCTATTTCGCTTCTCCCTTTTTTACGAAGTGGTGGGGGGGTTCTTACTTTGATCATAGTTGACGTCTGCATGTCAGTGAGTTTTTTGATACACCTCTGTCCACCAACGATATTACACACCTGAAATAGACAGTTGAATGGAGTTTTACACCCTACTATTCTGCATCTTGTTATTCTGTGTATGAATTATGAAATGAAATGGAGTTTTACACCCACTGAGAGAATGATATTCTACACCTATTGTGTGTGATAAGGTAAATTTTGCCAGGACATCTGTATTAGCCTACTATTTTTTGCTTTCCAACTGTCGAGGGATCTTTAACGTGCACAGCCTGTAGCACACGGGGCCTCGGTTTATTGTCACATCTGAACAACTAAACGCTTTTTCCATGTCAGCCCCTCTTACCTGTATCACCGACAGGGGGAAACCAGGTTGAAAAATCCGAAGGTATCATCTGGACCTATGTTGGGATTGAACCCTGGACATTTAGATTAGCGAGCAAGTGTCTAACTCACTGAGCCACCATGGCTCCAAAAATCATCATTAAGTGAAGTTTTTGGAAAACTGAAACACGTACCTCTAAAGGAAGATATGTATGTTTCTGTTCTTGTCCAACTTGAAGACATGGAAAATGTGGATATCTGAAAAATGACATCAAAAATTTCATTGAGCAAAATATTTTTTTATCAAAGTCATAACAAAGAGTTGAAAATAAATGGTGAAAAAAGAATTCAAATTTATTTTTGAAAAATATAACAATATAGCTAATTGCATTTCATAAAACAAATTTACTACTTTTTGATTGTAAAGAGGTTTTCTAAATTTTGTTTGTGTATCAGGGACACTGATATCATCAATTTACACCATTCTAATTTTCAATCAGATGTCTGTGGTTCCTGCAATTCCACGAAAACTAATGACATCACTATCACAAAAGTTGCTAATAATATTCAAGCGCTTTGGGATAAGTGACATCATAAAACACTTAGTTTTAGTGGAATTACAGGAACCACAGACGTCTGATTGAAAATTGAAATGGTGTAAATTGATGCTATCAGTGTCCCTGATACACATAAAAATTTTAGAAAACCTTTTTACGATTCCTTTAATTGTGAAAAATGGCTACTTACTGAAGTTTTATTTTGTATTTTTCATGGAAGTATCTAGCGACTGTACATTCTACAGTCTGACCTGAATCTAGCTGTAGTGGAAATCTACAAACAAACACAAATATTTCTCTTAATATATGAAATGCAACTTTAAAGAGATTGTTAAAAGGTTTTCTAACTTTTTTATGCGTATCAGGGACACTGATAGCATCAATTTACACCATTACAATTTTCAATCAGATGTCTGTGGTTCCTGCAATTCTACTAAAACTAAGTGTTTGATTTCACATTAGGTTCTTCGTGATTAGTGACGTCATCAAACACTTGGTTTTAATGGAATTGCAAAACCCTTAGTCGTCTGTTTGAACATTTGAATGGTGTAAATTGATGCTATCAGTGTCCCTGATACACATAAAAAATTTAGAAAACCTTTCTACAATCTCTTTAATGGGTCAATGAAGATGGGAAATGGCATGCAGTGTGCAATGAAGTAAATTTCGTATTATATTTTTCTGTCAAAATCAAATGTTTCGATAAACTGGATTTCTTGAGATTTACGACTGTTCAGGGAACTTTAGAGCGAACAGCCTGTAGCACACGGGGCCTCGATTCATTGTCTCCTCTAAACGACACTTTTTCCATGTCAGCCCCTCTTACCTACATCACTGACAGGGGGAAACCGGGTTGAAAAATCCGAAGGTATTATCTCGACCTATGCCGGGATTGAGCCCTGGACCTTCATGTTAGCGAGCAAGCATCAAACTCACTGATCCTCCGCGGCTCCACTGACAGGGGGAAATGGCAGAATAAACTCAGGCCAATCGCTGAGCCCCTCCCCCAGCTACCCTAACTTACGATTGTGTTTGAGCAGGTCTTCGAGTTACATTACAAACTCTGTACTTTCTCTTCATGGTACCACAATGTGTGATTTCTACCTTTAATCCTAGAGAACAAAATACCAAAAATATTTCATCAGGCAAGTCTTTGAAAACAAAAAGGGACAGATCTGCCATATTTATTTTGACCAATCATACTTAGTCCCAAAAAATTGAATTTTTTAGCTAAGCCAATCAGTAATAGTGTTCACAGCTCACTGCCAATATTTTAACCAATCATACCTCAGTCCCAGAAACGGGAATTTTTTAGCTAAGCTAATCAGTAATAGTGTTCACAGCTCACTGTCGAAATTTGAGCCTTCAAATCCATGTGTGTTCAGAATTATCTGTGTTTGAATGTTAAAATGATGACTCGTCAATTTAAGATACTCTGTGATATATACAACCTCAACTTAGGGCTGGGTGATATTGGTTAAGTTGTTATCACAATATCAATCATTAATATATCACGATATGGGTATATATCGTGATATTTTTTAAGTTTGTTTTTTTCTGGTTTTCGAAACAAAATTATGATCTAGAAATTTTAAATGTAACATAAAACAATAAATTTCTCTTAAAAATACCCCAGTCTTTAACATCATGAAAAAAAAAAACCATCTGTTTCAAATATTAAGTTACTTGTTAAAATTATGTAGAAGATCTTATCTGGACAAAAATTTGATGATATATCACGATAATTAACATATATCACGATATGGTGATATTTTAGTATTTTTTAATCAATATAAATTCCTCTACCAGTATTTATCGTGATACCAGTATATCGCCCAGCCCTACGTCAACTCCAGTCAACCTACCTTTGATTTCCTTGGTGAATTTGACTCGTTGTGAGTCAGTGAGAGGTCGTTTCTGGTCGGCTGTGTTCTCGATATCCAACACCTCGCACATGAATTCAATTACTGGCTGGGCTTTATAAAACGCTGTGGCAGATACTGTAAATCAAAAATAGTGGAGTTTTACACCCTACTTAGAGAGTTGTCTTAGTCGAGGAACAAGATGAAACGAAATGAAGTTTACATCTAACTTTGTAGTAAAACACACATATCAGATGATAGAGCTTCAATTTTAGCTATCCATATCACCTTAAGAATGAAAATCTGACATCATGTTAGTTTGCAATTAGTGACAAATTGATTTTACTATTGAACGGAAGAAAATATACAATACACAATGATGGAAATTTTGCAAAGACAACTCAACATGCACAGCCTGTAGCACATGGGACCTCGGTTTATTGTCCCATCCGAACGACTTGACACTTTTTCCATGTCAGCCCCTGTATCACTGACAGGGGATCAAAGGACTATGATTCTGAATCAACTTACCATCAATGTTTAGCATCATTTTCCATTGTGAGGGTCTAACAGACTGATGAAAACCAAACCAGACCTCTCGCCCTCCACCAAGGGGGTGATCGTAACCTTTAGGCTGGGAGAAAAATGAACGACCCACTGGTGTATAGCTGAAATACAGAAATGGATGAATGAATGAGTGAATGAATGAATGAGTGAATGAGTGAATGAATGAGTGAATGAATGAGTGAATGAATGAGTGAATGAATGTGTGATTAAGTGAGTGAATGAATTGGGAATGAATGAATGAGTAAGTGAGTGAATGAATTGGGAATGAATGAATGAGTAAGTGAGTGAATGAATTTGGAATGAATGAATGAATGAATCTCAAAATAATAATACATTGTTTTCCATGAATAGGCTGATGATAACTGGAAACCATGCTGTCACTATGCACCTAGATTTCAGAATTAAGTCCAATACACCAAAGTGACATGGTCCTGTCTAACATTCAGCCCATGGGTAAGCATATAACTCAAGAGCCATCACTGCCCTAATCTGTTTCAGAGAGTTCACATAGCATAGTTAATAAGTCCCATACTTAGAACATATTATTAAAACTTACGTCATGCTAGGTAAGTGTCTCATGACAACATCTAGAGCCTGTATGGCGTCCATGGGCATCTGTTGTTGCCGTCCTTCTAAAGCTTCTTCTAAGTTGTACAAACTGACTTGAGCTACCCATTTGATAGCCACCGTGAAAACCCGATCACGACCTTCACCTGGTAGAGTCACTTCTAGCTCCACCTACAGGAATTAAATAAAATGAAAAAGAGGCGCTCGAGAGTAGAGATCGGCCATGATGTCATAAGCCACATTTTCACTGAGAATTGTCAAGTTGTAAACTTCTAAGCTAACTTAAAACCACCTGTATTAAAACGCGTTGTGTTTACGCCAAGTTTAACTGGTTCCCGAACGACTTTAGTCTCTATCGCAAAGTCGCACATTATTGACAACTCATGATGTACAAGACTACTGTTTAGACCAGTAAGAAATGCAACAGACCGGAAAGACCAGTACACCGCCTATTGCCAAAGCTAGCTTTTTTAGATTTCCACTGGTTAAGTGAAAGCCGGCTATAACCTAGGTTTCAGTAGGCCCCCCGATAAATTGCTGAAAGCAAAAAGGGGATGTGTTTGGTTCCCGAACCATGATGGTTCGGCAATTTGCCCACTGGAAACACATGAAAGCTAGTTTAAAACTGGCTCTTCCCTCAGTGGAAACACAGTTATAGAGGTGGTTTGCGTACCACATGATGTACAACTTTAACAGTTGTAAGGGTGGTTTGTCCAACTCAAGTCATGCATGTGTTCTATTTTTAGCCAATTTCTCCTAATGGCAAGTTCTGCACGCTTGGGATTCATGGCGTTAAAATGTGCCGGAAAAAAAAGACAATATTCAAAATGGCGGAGAAAGGAATAGATGGAAAAATATTTTAATGTCTCGCATCTGCATCTGTACTGTTTGACCGAGGCTACAATTTGGAGCAGACGGAAGCTGCTCAGAACTCACCCATCAAGCACCATTTATGGATTTTATGTCATCAACAAATGCACAGATACTGCATGACATTAACATTTGATTGGTTGAAAATACTATCACTAGAATGCAACTGTGGTAGAACTTTCGATGAATTTTTAGGCCTGGACATTCATAGACATAGTCTTGATCATACTAGTCTTACCTTTTCTTTAGCTATTGGTAATGGTTCTCTGCTGTACAGGTTTTTACGGCCGTCAAAAACAGGCTTCACGCCAGAAAATATCCTCTGTCCATAGGACTGCACCATGGTCTCAATAATTTCCCTGAAAATATGGTTCAAAATATCATTGGGGTCAAAAGTCAAAGGTCATAACATAGGGGTCAAAAGTCAAAGGTTCAGTTCAGAACAAATTTGGTATGGTTACACAGTTTTTTACTCCAATCAAGACTAATGCAAATAGGCAACACCATGCAGTCTGCAATGAGGTAAATTTGCCAGGACAGTGGTATTTGCCAACTCTTTTCAATTCCGCATGTGAAGGGATCTTAAACAAGCATACCCTGTAGCACATGGGGGCTCTGTTAGTGTTCTAATAAATGTCATGATTGCAACACTCTGAATGAATGAGCTACAACCCATCCCCAATTACATACCTATTGACTCTTCTGGGACACTTATCAGGTGTAATGGACACGTCATAGTGGTGGATGAAGCCCTTCGGTATTCGTACTTGAAAATGGTTGGCGCGTAGCAGAATGGGTCGTCCCTCGGTACCGTGGTTAGGGCGAGGGGGACACACAAAGTCTCCTTCCGGAGCAGCAGATATGGGGGGTGGGGGACCAGCAAATGGTTGATAAGTTCCTGTCAATGATGGAATCGCTGGTGGGGGTTGTAATGCTGAAAAAAAGAGAGAAAGAAAAAATTAGTGGATGATTACATTAGCAAATGAATGAATGGACGAATGGTCGCAAATGAATGAAAAATGAAAGACATGATGAATGAATGAAAAATAAATGAGGATAAATGAATGAATGAATAAAGTCTTTGACAGCAACCATTCATCCAATGGGTCACCCCCTGTACAAATCCTCACCCCCTAATTCTTACCTTGTTGTATTCCCATAAGCTGAGAAGGTGTTAAAGGCTCTGAAAATATCAAACACAATGTTTCAAAAAATTACACTTTACCTAGCTAAAAGGCAGTCAAAATGAAATGGTAATGAACTTGCTCTCAAGTAGCTAGTTGGATTGTCGTCTAAGCAATTGGTGCCTCCTCAAGGTAAGAAAAATCTGATGCCACAGCCAGTACTTCTGAGAGTCGGTCCCTAATATCTAAAAAAAAAAAATAACAGTTACTCACGCTCAGGTTGAGTCATTGGTGGGAAAGTAAACTGTAGCCCGGGCTGCCCTGTAACAACAATAAAGACAATGCTGGTCAACACATCTGTTCCAAGGTTTTAAACACAGAGAACTGAGTTCTGAGACTAAGTTTAGGTGGGTACAGAATATCAATGTTTGCAAAAAAAATTGTGTCTAATCTACATGTATGCCTGTAATTAAAGATGGGTTCCCTTATTTTCATTGATGAAAATGAAAATGCTAATATATGAATAGAAAGTAGAGGTGTTCTAATGACTTGGAAAAATACCAGTTTGTCTCACATGTCCATAATTAATTCATAATTAGCTAAATTAGAAGAGAATTACCAGCAGAATTCCAATGAGTGACTGATCAAGAGAGATCAAAAAGTCTTTTTTTTGTTTATCCAGACTGTACATACATGAACATTTATGATTGGTTAAAACTCTTAATTATATGCAATAAGAACATAATGATATGATTAAGAATACATGATAATTCATTAGAAACACCAATTAATCAATAGTTTGCTTAATTTGACATTCAAAAAATAAGGACACCCATCTTTAAACCAATTAAATATCAAAGGCCAATTATTTCAAATTGACCATCGAGCCCATCTTATGCTGCAGACATGGGTTTCGGGAAGGCAATCCTCATCAGGATAGGTTTACTTTCCAAAATTGAATTTTTTTAATTAATAACTCTTATTTTCCACGTCATTTTTGTATTCTAAAAAGGATTAAAGATTAAAAGATTAAGAAAATGTGCAAAGGAAAAAGTTGTTGATACCAAAATCACAAATAAGGATAGGAATAGAAGAGTTGTGAGACAAATCTAGGGAGGAACCTTCATTTGTGCAAAAACCACAGAAAATTGGAATGGTGCAAATTGATGCTATCAGTATCCCTGAACCACGTAAATAATTTTAGAATATCTTTTTGCAATCTATTTTAGTAGATTTCACTAACACCAAAATTAGTTTTGGCAACTTCAGGAAATAAATGTAACTTGAGTGAATGGTATTAAAAACAGGGTTAAAGTGCTACCACAAAAGGACTGGTTATAATGGACTACAAAGAAAGGTGATTAATGGATGAACAATTATCCAGTGAAACTTACCATTCATCTGTGGGCTGAGAAAAGGAGAAATACCTGAAAAAAAGGCAGAAAAATTCATTCGAGTCACAAAAGTTTAGTGTGATGCAGGGCAGGTGGGCCAGATGTACAGATGGCATATCTGGAACACATTTTCAGCTTTTTGACTGCTAGCTTACACAGCAACTCTTTCTGGAATTTCATGTGGCAGATCCTGACAGGATATTGACACTATTCCCTGAAATCAAAATGGTCCCAAACTCCTTCGACAAATACCAAACTCCCTAGTCAAAATGGTCCCAAACTCCCTAAGGCCCCAAACTCCCTAGTCGAAATGGTCTCAAACTCCCTAATAATAATGGTCTCAAACTCCCAAGTGAAATTGGTCTCAAACTCCCTATGGTCTCGAACTCCCAAGTCAAAATGGTCCCCAACTCCCTAATCATAATGGTCTCAAACTCCCAAGTCAAAATGGTCCCAAACCCCCTAGTCAAAATGGTACCAAACTCCCTGGTCAAAATGGTCCCAAAAAACCTTAGTCAATATGGTCCCAAACTCCCTATGGTCTCAAACTTCCTCATCAAAATGGTCCCAAAGTCCCTAGTTAAAATGGTCCAAAACTCTCTAGTCAAAATGGTCCCAAACTCCCTATGGTCTCAAACTTCCTCATCAAAATAGTCCCAAAGTACCTAGTCAAAATGATCCCAAAACACCTTATTCAAAATGATCCCAAAACACCTTATTCAAATGGTCCATATCTTGATCTAAATGGTCAAGGACGAAATACCTTTGTTAAAACGGACTATAATTTGGTCAAAATGAACATCCAATCAATGCTCATTATAAATCAACACAACAATAATGTCCACTGCACCAGGTTTGTTGGCCTGTTATTTTTAGATTGATGCATATTCCCAAAATGCTTTTCAAGTACACTGTCTATAGAAACATGAGATTTTGTGATCTGTGTCTATATTTAAAATCATATAAATTTAGTTTTAGTTCACTGTTCAGACTACTCTCTCTCCCGGCCGGAAATCGACCTGTTTTGTTGTTTGTTGCTATTCTTAAAACTTATTGAATTTTGTAAGCTTATTGAATCCTCCCCTCAAAAATGAAAAATAATTATGCTGCAACTTTTGGAATTGTTATGAACACGAAGCAGGGCAAAGACTTTCAGTGTTATGAAAATGATTGGCAAATTTATTTCATGAAGAGACGTTGAATTTGTAGATCCGACGCTTTCGTCTTCTAAAAATAGAAATATTTTTTTCTGATTCACTGATTTTCCTGGGTGAAATTTGAGCAAATTTTAATGGTTAATTTGGAATTTCATGGACGTTTGGTCATCTATACGTACCCTGTGTTGTGATAGGAAACATCTTGGCATTCTCCGTCGACGACAACTAGTTAAATTTTGATCTTTTGTGTCTGAATTCCTCTGAATGAACTCGATTAAAATTACAACATGGCGGACACAAGCTAGAAGCCTCGGTCTCGATTTGGAGTCAAAGTCGTCCAAAAGTCAGTTCGCCCCACGACAAAATCGTCTATTAGACAAATTGGACATCGGCCAAGATAATTGATCGTTATTGGACATTTAGGAAATATGCTTTGCACTCTAAAAATCGAGAGGATGTGATAGAATTGTACCACATTTAAGTAAAACGCCCCATAAAATAAAATAAAAACAGAATCAAGAAAATTTCAGCCTGGAAAACTTTTCTACACTTCAAAGGGACACAATTCGAAATTCAAAATGGCTGTCATGCACAGAGCTTTGTTTACATGGTTGACAATTTTAGTGTTTTTAATACTCTTAGTGTTGAGATTAGAATATAAAGTGACGTGGAATTGGTTCCTGATATTCATTCCATTATGGCTCTTTGATTGTGTGGTTCTTTTGTACATTACAATCAACATGATCCGCCATTGTCGACGGGGTTTCGACCGAAATGACGTTTCCATGAGACGAAAAGTGTATTACATGACTGCGGTTCTTCTTAAAATGACATTCCAGATTTTGTTGTGTTTACGTTTCGAGTATTTCAACTTTATCTCATTGTATATGGCAATGATTCCATTTTGGGTGCTCTTGACGGTTTCTTGTACTGATATTTTCATAGGTCTTGTCAAACTCTGAATTGTGTGATGCCATCATCATATGGATCAATTCTGAACAAGAACATTAATGGCACAGTCAGAATTCAGTTTGGCAGCTTGGGAAGTTTTTGAGAAATTTTCATTCATGTGAGTGCTTAGCTTTCGAAAATGTGCTGAATTTGATATTGAAGACAAGCTCTTTAACTGTGAACTCTCCGAAAGGGATGCCGAGGTGTGACAAAAGCTTCATCAAGTACTTGGATGTGTATCTAACAACTAGATCTAAATACAAGACACAGTAAAGGTCAACTGTTTGACCTGCTAATTTAAATGAGGTGTGGTCTAATGCAGACTTAGCCAATTAAATTGAGTGTTATAATCATTAAATGTGCAATTTCACCAAGATGTGTTGTGATTGGCTCAAATTAACACTTATTAAAGTAAATCTGTCAAGCAAGATTGCTAGATCCTATGGTGAGAGCATTAGGGTGGCTTTAGTTGAATTTTTAATGACTTTTTTCTATTAACCCTTTAAACACTAGTTGTCATTCTACCAGTCACATATTTTGTGATTTATACCCGACAGGTGGTGACGCAGTTGTTACAAAGTGACGTCCAATACAGTAGCGCTTTGTTTTTATTTTACAAATCAGTGTTCAAAGGGTCAAGGACCATAATTTCCAAAATGTTTACTCATTACATGTGAAATAAGATTTGTATATGGATATGATATTTTTATGTAATAAATTTTGATGTTATTCTAATTTGTCTTGTGTTTTTTTAAGGGGAGGGAACCAACATGTTAAGGGGACTAAATGCTTTATGTGGCTCTTCTCCTTTTCATTGGTAGGGAGCCGCAGTGGCTCAGTGAGTTAGACGCTTGCTCGCTAACCTGAAGGTCCAGGGTTCAATCCCGACATAGGTCGAGATAACCCGGTTTCCCCCTGTCAGTGATGCAGGTAAGAGGGGCTGACATGGAAAAGCGTCTAGTCGTTCGGATGAGACAATAAACCGAGGCCCTGTGTGCTACAGGCTGTGCACGTTAAAGATCCCTCGACAGTTGGAAATCGAAAAAGAGCAGGCTAATGCCGCTGTCCTGGCAAAATTTCCTTCATTGCACCCTGCATGGCATCGCCCGTCTTCATTAGCCCACATGGTGTAGAAGAGTAGGATGTAAAACTCCATTCATTTCAGACGAGTCAGTTTTTCCTTGTTGCCAAAATATGTGCAAAACATGTCTATCTAGGTGGTCAAGGTATAAGACAAAGTTTGTAATAGTTTGAAGATGTATACATAGATTGCTCTTGTTTTCATTTTGAATCCGAAGAAGACATTTTGTATTTTTTATTTTTTTATTAGACGGGAGATTTAAGAACTGCTTTTGTCGTCTTTTTCTTTCTTTTCTTTTTTCTCTTCATCCTTATCTTTATCTTCGGAGATGGAGGTTCTCAATAACTCGGCACGTTTCTGTTTCAATCTATCAGCCTTGCGTTTTCTGGCTTCTTCGATCTTTATTCTCTTAGCTTCGAATTGATCCCTGAAAAAATATTCATGTGATGAGGGTCGTAAGCCAACACTGGGTCTATTCTTAGAAGCACTGGCTGTGGCAGCAGAATTTTCTAACTTCACAGATTTGAACCCACTGTAACTTTTGGCCCAAGAGAAAACAATCCAACATGGTACTGAATGACCCAGTGTTGTGTTCGGGGGAAAATACTAGTGCTTCAACAGTCCCTGAATGCGAGTGGTTATTGCACTGAAGTTCAAATCAGAATGAACCCACAATTCTAAGATTATTTGTGCTGATGAGGATTGCATATCTGAGATGTGTCCACAGTATTAGCTCTAGTCAATGAGATACGAGGACCCCACATTTTGGATTGAAAATTCTATTTTATTTTCAAATATTGTTATTTTCGAACAAACAATCTAAGCATCTCAGTAGTATTTTGGTGTTGCTATGTCGCAAAATGCAATTCTATATACTTTGTGGTTTCACATTAAGACTAGATACCCCTTGATGCTTTATAGTTCAAACATTTTCAAGACATCTGTCAAAAGATGGCTTGCTAGGCAAGGTAACATATGCCCACTGGCAGCTGTCAGACATGATTGAACACGAGTTGCACAATATAGCTAATAGAGTAAAACATCAAGTCAGACACGATATTTCAGTGAAAAATTATCTGATCATCACGAAAATCGATAGATATCATCTTCATAATGACATTGACACACAAAATCAAAATCAAAAGAATCTGTAAAGAATTGTAGCCTGTAGAGTGAGCACGAACCAAATGTGAACGGACGGACGGGCAGGGTGAGTGATTACAATATACGGCCATCTTATGTGTGGGCGTATAAAATATAAAAATATCAAAGAACTTACTTGAGAAGTTTCAATCGCTGTTGTTCAGCCTTCTTCTTGTGGATAAATTCAATGAGTACTCGCTTGTTTTTGAATCCGTTACCTTTAGATTTCATATACAGTTCATGATACCTGAAACATATATTATAGAATTGTGGACTCTCTGAATTAAAGCATCAACCCGATCAAAGAATTGCTGTGATGTGTTTATAATGATCCTTCATAATCATTGGATGCCAATATCTGTTGATATTTCCAATTCCACGAGGCCACTTTCGGTGACACTTGGTGAAATCTTAGACGAGTTTGATTTTCACAATGTTCTGATGAACAATTCTTCACTTATTGAGGTGACAATTTGTCAAAGCAGCCACAACATCTTCCTTATACCCATTTAATTGTAGGTTTACTATACCCTATGAATTTCCATACTGAAAAGTGAAACCTGGATAAAGTTCCATCAGTTGACAAATCGAACAGACAAGGTAACAATAAAACATTTTGCTTCAAAACTTCACATTTTACCACCTTAATTTGAAAAAAAAAACACTCCCTCCAAAAAAAATTCCAACCAAAGACATAATACTTTCTTAAGCTCATAAAAATGAAATATTTACATTAGCTATTATTTTTTCCATTGGACCAAACATTAGGCGTAGTAATTTTAACCAATGACGTCATTGTATCAAATAGACGGTCTCCAATGTAAACAATCATGTCGGTTGTCCCAAACGTTGAAACGTAAAGAAATAGGCCCTACTTAAATTCATACTAAAGTCTTTGTATCAAAATTAAAATGTCTTGAAAACGTAAATATAAACAAACTGTTACCCTATGGTGGTTATGGTCGTATATCAGGACAAAGGTTGACTGGAAAATTAATCATAAATGCTCCAACACAGTCATTCAATTTTCCAGTCATCCTTTGTCCTGATATACGACCATAACCCCATAACCGCCATAGGCTAACAGTTTATTGCTTAAATATACCAACGAAATGGCAAAGACAATACTCCAACAAAGCGGTACTTACATATGTTTGTCAATTTTCTTGGTCTCTCGATAACGTCTTAACAATCGACGTAAAACTCTCATCCTGTTCATCCAGACGATTTTCTGGGGTTGTCGAGCGTTGGCAGTACCTCGTCGTCGACCAGGGCCCATGTGACGTCCCTTTCGTCGAGCGATCATAAACTTTCGTACTCTAGCTCGGGAGTGAACTGTAACTGGTTTACGAATAACCAAACCATCCTTCACTAATTTTCTTATGTTTTGTCCTGGAATACAGAGCAAACCATTTAAGATGTCTGATTACTGACTTGATAGGGGGAACAACCAGCTTTGCGGAAGCCTCAAACTGAGTATCCCAAGAAATCTTTTGAAAGATAGAATTTAAATGATTAGGTGATTTCTTATTTTTTAATTTGAATCCACAGCTTTTGCACGTAGTCACAGAAGTCACCCTCCATTAAGTTTTTAGAACTATGTTCCACCACATGTCTCATTTCTGGATTAGAAAATCTAAAATGAAATCAAGAAATGATTGAATTGGGAAACTTACTAGAGTTGGCATTGGATATTTCATTATTTTCATTGGGATCCAACCAGATTTTATTTTTGCCGCATTTCAGCACGGAAGCGGCTAACCGCTTTTGCAACCTGAGAGAACTGAAAGAAAGTTATAAGTTTACTGAGGAATATGCTACATAAAATTTTAAATAAATCAAACGCATAAGGCAGATTAAGGCTAATCTAAGGACTTCATTAGATTAGCCCATTTCAGGTCAGGGTAGGAGAATGGCAACTCATTTTCTGCTTCGCCAAGACATTATCAATCTTCTATCTCTATAGGACAGTGGGTCTCTCTGTGTATTTACAGGAGATGTCAAGGAAATGTCAGATGAACGACAGGGCAAGTGGACTAATAAGTATACACCTCAATTTAAGTGAAAACACGTTTTTCTAACAGGCGGCCATTTTGGAAATTTCAGAAACAAAAGTAAAAAATTTTCACATCAGAATGCCATTTTTAGACGATCTAACCAAGATAAGGCCAACAAAAAGTTGCAGTGGGATGCCTACATATTTAATTTTCATAAATTCTGGGTGATGTGTTTTAATAATTGATAAGTAATAAGAGAAATTGGAAAAATATTTCGGACCTCATGTTTACTCCAGTTGCACGATGTTGGGAAAGGAAGTCGGTCGGGCACGTGGGACATGACGTAAAAATGTAGTCCCAAAAAAACTTTTGTCAAATTTTTTTCATTTTTTTTAAAGAAACATTTTTAAATAAATTTTTTAAGATTTCGGGTATTTTGGAACTAAACTGGAAAGTTGTCAAAATTCAAAAAAGCAAAATTTAATCTAATAAAAAATATTTATATATCACTCCGCAAATCACAACACGGATTGATATCTAGACTGAAAGTGAATCGGCTTTGAACTCTCGTGACCTCTCGTGAGAGAGCGTCTGCTACGAGATTTTAGTGACCTTTTTCCAAGGTCAGTCTATACCTTAAGGTCAAGGTCGACGTCAAAACTTCTCCACACAGTCAGAAGATCTCTGCAAAACAGTTCCAAAATGTC